CTCACTCGGTTCCCAAGCTCAGTGTCTCTTTTCCTCTCAAAGCCAATAATGTTGGATACATCATGATTCTCATCCACTTAAAGGGATAGATCACCTAGAAATGGATACCAATAATGTCATTTAAAAATAAATAAATCATCTTCTGTGGAACATAACAAATATTTTGAGAAAAGTCTTAGTGTTTTTTTTTGTCCACACAGTAGACTATTTTGTTATCTACATTCTTCAAAAAAAATCCTAAATCCTAAAGCATTTGTGTGAGCGAGGCCTCTCTCTGCACCCTATGACTTGTACCTCTCCAGCAGGAAATCAAACTAAATTTACATTATAATTATTTGAGCAATATATATATATATATATATATATATAGTCACTTGACAAGCTCTCTGAATCTTGGAAGCTTAAAATGTTTCCTGTGTTCTTTAGATCCACTGCTGTCAGTAAAGAAGCCCATTGAGAGAAGGAGGACAGGAGGACAGGCTTGGAGGGCAGCCAGACAGACCTCTCTGAGAAGTGAGATATGTTGCAGTGTTTGTCTGCATGTGTGTGTGTGTGTGTGTGTGTGTGAATGCCCTGAGTTGATTTCTCCTTGAGAACCAACCCTTATCTAAGCCACACCTTAAAAATGTTACGGACTAATTGGAACTGTTGCCATCCACCATTTCCTCAGACAAGCTTCTGCTTTTTTCTAATGTAAATATGGGCGATCTGTTTTGGATGATATACCAAAATGACAAAACATTGTTTCCATCATAGAAAAAAAATATGAACAGTTATGTTCCCTAATATACTGTCTAACTTATATTATATAGTCTTTTCAGTTGACTGAGAAGTGGTTGTCTCACTTATGATTTAGCAGCAAGGTGATTTAAAACAGCAGACTGCGAATTTCACAATTTATTTTAATACAAATTTCCAGTTTCTATAAGATTTTCTGTAAAGCTAGAGCAAAAATCATTAAAGGGGGAGCTTAGAAATGGGTCAATTATGTTTTCAGTGTGTTGAAATGTAAAACTGCTTGTAAAATGTAGATAATGTCACAACTTAGCTAGTTTGTATTATAAACCTATACCTGCTACAGAAAAACATTATCATCAAACATTAATCATATATTCTGAGGTTATATGTTCCGAGTTATTCCTGGCTTTGCAATCTTCTAATCTTGGCTGTAGTGGATACAGCTTGAATTTACTGCACATTTCCACAGAGCCATGTATCAGCACTCAACATCTTACTGCCTGTAAATCTCACTTACCTACAGACTGTTTAATGCCCTCTCACTGCCACAAACAGCATTGCCTGACCATTACAATTACAAATAATTACCATCATTACAGTCTTGCGGGCTAATTGATGAGAGAAACCAGTCAATGTGGTGTGTGTGTATGTGTGTGTGGCAGGGAGGGGGGAACATGTTAGAAATTGATTTGGATTTTATTGTGACACTTTTGGACAAAAATATATTCCACAGAAATACTGAATAGCCAGCAGGGGGAGGCCAGTATAAGAACTGGATCTGATAAACTTTAAGATTTTACGGTGGGCTATTAGCATGGGGGGGGAGATAGGAAGTGATGGGAGAAAATATACAATACAGGCTTTTCTCTTAATCACTTAAATTTAGAATTAGGTCTCTTTTCCAAAATGGAGCTTGTTAACAATTCCATATGTGGTGTCATCTTGGGAGACCTGTGTTGACCCTATTAATTGGTAAAAAGTAAGGACTGTGCCTTTGAAATTGAAATACATAATAATATATAACTAACAAGATTAAAAAAAATATCATTCAAATTATTACATAGATTTTGCTAAAGCATATACTTTAAAATGTTTAAGTCACAAGCTGCTCTTTTTGTGGTGCTCCTAAAAAAAACTGTTCTTCACATCTTCTGGGAATGTCCTCACACACAACTAGTTGGATGGAAGATTATTAACTGCAATGAGATTTTGGCTTCTCACGGTTCTTTAAGGATGCGCTGTTTGGCTTCTTTAACAATGAAAAAAAATAAAATAATAATGAACACTTCATTATTAATCTCTTATAGCTCCTTGCAAAATTTCACATTCACCGTTCAAATGTTCAAACAGCATCCAAACCTTTTCATTTTTAAAGCTCTTTTAAGACAGTGAATTTGTTCAACCTTTTTCATTTATTTTGCTATTGTTCATGTATTTATTTATAATTGATGCTTTGCTTTCATTGTAATTTCATTATGTACTTTTTATATTTTGCTCCCTACTTATACGTTTGATAGCTTGGCATCAATTTAAAAAATTATTTTTTCCCCCCCTGTGTAGTTATCACAGCTAGCAACAATCATATGGTGCCCCCTAGTGTTCAAAAGCGACATTGCAATTTGAAATTAGATCAAGTATCATGTTGTCTTGACTCAATGAAAACTGCATTGCGCAAATGAAACTGATTTAGGTATGTAGCTGCAAGCAGCTCCATTAGTATAATAAATAACACGGTTCTAAAACTAAAGAAATAATATTTGTACAACTTGTAAAAATTATAGGCTACTTGTAAAATTGTACATTTTTTTTTTTTAATTAGTTGTATAATTTAACTTGTTAAAATTAGCACTGAATTACAATTACTGTGATTCAAATCCAATTTCCCATAAAATCTTGAGCACATAATAATGCTAGACTACTGCTAGAATGAAGAGGATAGAGGATTGAGTGAAATACTTCAAGTCCCACAATTCTTTGCTAATTAAAAATGGCGCATTGTCATTGACAGTTTAGACACCGGTACGCTGAATATTGAGGATATTGTCTGTTTTTATGCGTCCTCGACAGTATGACACTGCTAATTAGAGTAGTGAAACAAGTACAGCGGAAATCTCTCCAATGCCCCGTATTGAATTGGTTTTCAACGGATAACTCAGCACTACGAAAAGGGCCCGAGTGCAAAGAGGAGTGTAAATGGTTGTGTGGATCGTCTCAGGAAATTCTGTCCGCAGTGCGTGGACAAGTTGAAGTTAGGCAGAACTTCATCAGCGAGGAAGAGGAGAGTGCAATTTTTAAAGAAGTAGAACCAGGACTTAGAAAAAAGCGATATGAATTTGACCACTGGGACGATGTAAGTAACACTACTATACGTGTTTCTAGCAATATACATAACAAAAAACATACCCGTGTTGTAACAGTTGTTTATGATTGCTACTCAACGTTTGTACTACCTCTAGTGGTAGTAGGCCATGGGTAATACTTCTTGAGTTTAGTTACGACCTACCTGTACTTTTCAAGTGAACCCATTGCTTCTTAAAAACGTCGAAAACATTGTTGTGTGGCAAAAGCACTGAAAGCTGCCAAAATAGAATTTTGAGCGCGAAATGCTCGTTGGCCAATAAGAAAGACAAATCAGTCGGCTCTCCTCCAATGCCATGGGTTTGGGCGGGGCTACTTCTTGAGAACGGCACAGAGGGAAGTATTTGGGAAACCTGCTTGGAAACAATCGTTTCTGTCATTGGTAGTGCAACTCACTTCACCCACTCCTCTCCAAAATAAATAAATACTGCCATAGAAAAACAAAGAAGGGATTTTTTTAGGGGTATTTCATGTGAACTAGATCAATTTGTTAGAATTAAAATAATTTCAATTAAAATTTTGAACAATTTGCATATTCATTAAAAACAAATTAATTGACATGTCTGGAATTAAATTGTTTTTACACTTTAATAAAAATATACCTATTTATTAAAACCAACTCTGTATGTGTTTCTAATACCAAATAATGTTGTTAACATATTTCTTTATATGTTGTATTTGTAACATTTCTGTTGTTTGGCTTTTAACTAGTTTAACCCCATCTATCAATTTCTTGGTACATTTCAAATGCTCTTACTATGCTCTCACTCATCAGAAACATTATGAATCAAGCATGTTTGAAAGAAAGTTTGGAACGTGACCCTCCAGGATTTGAACACGCATCATGCTGTTATTTGCATCACCTTAATCTCTTTTCCACTCAGGCCATCCACGGCTACAGAGAAACAGAACGGCTGCAGTGGGGAGTTCTGTGTGAAAGCATCTTGAGGCGGGTGAGGGTAGCTGCATTTCCTGAAGGCAGTCCACTGCTTGGGCCGATTCATGTTCTGGACCTGGACAAAGAGGGCTATATCAAACCCCACATTGACAGTGTGAAGGTCTGTCTATGAGTTATTTGCGCAGTATCATTCTCCACAGTTGTGTTATTTGAACATTATTTCTGTTCTCCGTGAACATTGCTTTCTCTTGTCAGTTCTGCGGAAGCACCATTGCAGGGCTGAGCCTGTTGTCCGATAGTATTATGCGTCTGGTCCCAGAAAATAATTCCACAGATTGGGTGGACTTGCTTCTGAGCCGGCGCTCACTTTATATATTAAGGTAGTTACCCAACATACTTCATTTTCTTTATTGTTATGAACATAATTTGCAGCCACAGAACAACTAAGTTACATTTTTCTTACCACAAAATGTGAACATTTCAAAAATTGTATAACACTTTTTGTTTATCAACAGGGATGAAGCTCGTTTTAAATTTACCCATGAAATCCTGAAAGATGAAGATTCATTTTTCTCAGGACACAAGATTACACGTCATCGCCGGATCTCTGTGATCTGTCGAAACCTGCCTGCGTAAAGGAATTAAGACTGGACAGACCATAACACCCGTCTTGGAAACACTGGCTCCCTGGTCTAGAAGTCGACACATTGTTCACCTTTCAGATACTCTCATACGGCTAAGAAAACTGCATCAATCAGATGCATTTTTCCAGGAAGAACCACAAAAACAACTGGTAGCATTATTTGATAACATTCAGCTCAATGAAATGTGGTTTAAATATCTCTGGAGGATTATGAAGGGGAGGGATGTGATTTATGAAATGTATAAATGTAAAATGAGAAAATGAAAATCTTTGGAACTATAATGTCTATGAATAAATATTAAATGAATAAATAAAACTTGCACAGAACACTGCATTTAAAACAGATGAACACAAACACTGGTATTCATTCTAAACAAATTTAATGTATTACCAAGGAGAAAAACCCCTGCAAAAGTTGTAACATTTACAGCTTTTAAACAGTGACGTTTAAAAAAAAAAAAGCAGACAAATGTGCAATAAAAGCCACAAATGCAGCTGCATTCTCTGGATAAAGTCCCTCTCAAAATTCTTAAGTTTTCTTGAGCAGAATCTTGACAGAAGGATTGTTACCCAGTGTCTCTCTGATGCTAAACTTGATACGAAGAGGCATCTGAAGTTTACAAACACATCTTTCCAATATCTGTAATAATATACAAAAACATACTCCTATCTTTCTTCCCTCCGTTTTCTTTGTCGTTTTTCTCTTTAGACCCCCAGTGCTCTCATCTCTAACTCAATTAACAGTATTTAAGAACTACTGATCATAAATACTGGATGACTAAACGCAAAATAACAGCAAGAAAATTAGGAAGTTTCAGACCAAATAGGTCTTGAACTATATGAGCTGTATTCTAAAAGGAGAGGCTGCTGGTGGTGGACGCTCAGTGTTTCACTCTCTCCTCGGTTGGGTTCACTCAGTGAGGTAGAAGTGCATCTTCTCATTGATGTTCTTCCTCTCTGGGTTAAGCCTCTTCAAGATCTGGGCAAGCACATTGACTGTCTGCTCGCTGCTGAGGCCTGTGCGCTTAGTCTGGAACTTCTTCAGCAGGTCTTTAGTGGTCATGGGCTTCCTGATGAGATACCTGCGCACGGCGTCCTCTGTCAGCTGCACATCACTAAAGGAGAGATGGAAGGATGGATTTTATTTATTCATGTTAAAATAAGCAAGATATAATATGGTTTGTGAACCTGTCTGCAATTTGGAGGGGAAAATAGATATAAGGGGCTTTCGCACCGGAGGAACCTTTTTATAGTTCCTAGAACTATTGGCAAAAGTACCCCGATGTCGGCGCGTTTGCACCACAGGAACTAGGAATGATTTTAGTTCGAGGAACTAATTGAGCTCCTACTTTAGAGTAGGGACTAAACCAGCACAATAGGTACTATCAGTGACGTTAGTGTACGCGGATTGGCCGAACGCTCACGAAACACCAGCACCCGCCATTTTTAAAAAAGCTATGTAAACACAGATTATAGCCTATATGTTTACTCCAGAGACTAACTCTACTAATATGGAAAACAGTGATAGATGGACCTCTTAACCTTTACGCTGATTAGAAAATCCAACGCAACATTAAGGGGACCAAGCTAAACATGATCATGTATTTCTGCTCAGCTAGTGACACTGGACATCAACCGCACAGCATACGCTAATAACTTTTCATATACTGTATAATTGCTATGTATAACAGTCTGTGTTGAGGCTGAACGCGTTCATATTATGGGCAAACGTGAACTGAACGTACTCTATTACTGCCTGATGAACGTTACTGTGTGTGAACGCGTTCATTCTGGTGTCTGTGAACGCACGCTCTCTCAGTTTAACTTCGTACAATAGGGTGCCGGATTTGAGCCTTCCAGGTGAAAACCTGGCTAAAACACACGTAAACAGGCCTTAATATGTAGCGAAAAAAACACCCAAACACCAGCCAGCAGTGTCGCGCCGCTGCCGGCGTCGACAAAGCAGCGAGCGAGGAGGCGTATGATCATTTAAACGGATTTTATGACGAGGTCGGCGAGGATGGGAAAAATCTTATATTTCTGTGCAAACTGCCCGTCGATAAAATAATTGTTTTCTGTGGTTGTATTTGGGCTGTGGCAATAATAGCCTAAAAAAAAAGTTTGCAACATATGGAAAAAAGAACTATAAATGAACTAGTTGATGTTTTGAAGTTTGAACTATGAACTGAACTAGTTCATTTTAAAATGTGTGAACTGAACTTTGAACTAGTTCATGTAGAAAGTGAACTCTACCAACACTGCTAACAGTTCTATCTAATAAAGTATTAGACAGGATTGCTAGACAGATTGTAAACGAATGAAGACGGAAAATGCGAGCACTGTTTGTTTGCTCAGGCTCTGGCGTTCTCAGCTCCGTCAAAATAAGTCACAACAATTAGTACTCGGGGAACCACCTTTGTGGCTAGTTCCTAGAAATATCCGGTGTGAAAGCCCCTATTATGAACTGTAACATGTTGGAGATGTGTGAAGTGTTGAAATTTAGCATAAGTGCATAACTGTAGTAACATTATGCACACAGTGGCATAATGTTACTACAGCACTGCATGGTTTCATGTATGTGTAACTGGGCCCAAGTTTCATTGAAAAGAGGAAATGGACTGCATAGTTGGATAATTGAGAAAAGATGGGACCCATAGCTCTAGGCAATGTTTAAATTCACCATGAAATCAAATTTATGTGCCCTCAGAATGTTTCATCAAAAATAAGGTTCCCTCCCTCCCTCTTCCAGGGACATCTCTGATGACCTGTTTACTGGTGCAATGGTGAAACGACCCGTCACTCGGGTTTCACTCTAAATTTGTTCATGTTTGAGAAGCCGTTTAACTTGGATAGAAGTAACAATAGGAAAGAAAAGACAACTTTTTTTGTAGCAACTTTTGTTTCATGCTGACTTTGAGAGAAGAAAAAAAACGTACCTGGTGCTGGGGGTGGATTTCCCTGATACTGGTTGGGGTGTGCTCTTCCCCGAGGAGCTCTGAGGGCTGGGCTCCATCTTTAATCTCTTTGCCGCCGGAGTCTCTGTGCTCGGTACTGTCGTCTGCCGCTTACCTGAGACAGAAGAGCGTAAACATGAACATTAGCAGAGCAGTGAAACAGACAAAATGCAGGGACAAAATACTAGGTAGATAATATAATGTTATGGCTCATTAATGGCTTAAGGGAATAGTATACTCCACCCAAAAATAAATGCTCTCATCATTTACTCACCCTCATGCAGTCCCCAGATGTGTACGACTTTCTCTCATCAGATACAGTAACAAAGGTTTTTTAGAAAAATAAGCACCATGTAAAAACCTGTTCAAGAACGACGGTCAAGTGCTTTCTGGGGCACTTCTCGTATGAGATTCACAACACACTTATGTCATGCTTCCCAACGTGCTGAAATTTATGTAAAGCGTGAACTTGCATGTTTATCTGATGAACAAAAGTCATATAAATCTGGTACAGAGGCTAAAACTGAGATAAAAAATGCATGTTCAAGTGAAAACAGTGTGGACCAGGAAGAATTTTTCTTTTTGGGTGGAGTATCCCTTTAACTGCAAAGTAAGTGTAATAAGTAATAACAACAATAATAACAGCATTAAACCAAATAAATAAATACAATAAAAACTAAAACTCTTTTGTAATCTCTTTGCAATGATTTGCCACAATAATATAAAGTGAATTATTTTTTACTTTTCTGAACAATTATATATGTGAATAAATCAATTAACCATAGATCCTTGGCATCATATCATGCAATTAATTGAATTTCTTTCTTTTCAATTGAGTTTCTTTGAGTGTACCTTGTTCCAGTTTGCTGGCAGCGGCACGCAGAGTGTTTGAAGTGGCAGCGTTGTCGATAGAAGGTGTGCCAGGTCGACTTCCCGTTCTTGAACTACCTGCTGATCCTCGCCCACCCCCTCGCTTAGGAGGTGTGCGCTTCTTCTGTGAGAGGGGAGACAACAAGAGAGCACTGTACCATATACATATGAAAACCCATCAGAAAAACAACAGCTTCTCTCACTCTCTCCCTCTCATTCAATTCTCTTTCCCAAACACGCACATACACGCAAATGTAGGCCATTACCACCATGAACAGTGCTGAAGCTGCCTCTCCTTCAATATCACTGTCCTCGGAGCTGTCGGACTCGCCACTGCTGTCTGAAACAACATACACAAAGATTTTTACTAAATGAAAAACAAAAAAAAAACAATACCAAGAACAATACCAATAAAAGTACAAATAACAATATATTATTATTATTGATATTATTCCTATTTTAATGATCACAAAAGCAAACAGTAACATTGGTTATTCCAAGTGCTGTTTAACTGTCGCTTTATAAAGCAGGACGGATTCTGATTTGTTGTCAATATTTTTATCATTCATCAGATAGAAAGAAAACCATTCTGGAACAATATCATTCCTCTGTCATTATTATTATAGTCGTGGTGTGTACTCTGCAATATAGTTATTGTCCTTCAAGTGAAAGGGCCTTAAAGGGATAATTCACCCAAAAATGAAAATTGACCCTCAAGGTGTTCCAAACCTGTATGCGCTTCTTTGTTCTGCTTAACACAAAGGAAGATATTTGGAAGAATGTTTATAACCAAACAGATCTCGGGCAGATCAGAGGGCTGTTTCACAAAACCAAGATAGCCGGAATTTTCCAGATATCCTGGCTGAATTAAGCCGGGACTCGGTTTCACGAAAGCAGTAGCACATAAGTTACCATGGCGATTTATTCTGTGCAGCTAGCCTGCTCCAGACCAGGCTAACAGCCAGGCTTAGTCAATCCTGGTGCCTTATCTGTTCAGTCAGCGGTCACACCGATCAGAAACCAATGTGTTTTGTCAGTTATTCCGTTTTGTCACCTATGTGTTCAGCGCAATTTTTATCAGCCTGCATTAAAATACCTCAGATACATATTGGCATTCAGTCAAGTAGCCTATTATTATTATTGTAACATTATGATGGTAGCCTACCATTATTAACTATAATAATTATCATCCATATGGGCATTGTTACTGTTCAATTGTGTTTCTGAAGACTGCTGTTGTTCTAAGTTTGACAGATAGGTCTTTAATAGGCTATTGTATGTGAAGAGGGAACTAGAGAAATGGCTGATAAAGAAGCAAAAGTTTTGTCAATCAAGTCAGGCAATATAAGTAGCTCTAAACACGTTTCGTCCTTTACAATGGCATGCCCATTTTTGGATGACATCGTAGATAATGAAGCACTTATACTGAGAAGGCCTTTCAGACGTGAAAGAGTGTTTCGGGACAGGTCCGACCCATTGGCTTTTCCCGACAATTACCTGCAAGAGCTTTAGCCAACTGCTTTTCTGGGGATGGCAACCGCTGTGCAGACTGTTGGGTCCCAAAATTTTATCAGACACTTACCAGTCTGCAAAATGTTCTTATATTTGATCTTGACCTGTTGCCAGGTCCTCTTTGGTCCAGTCATGTTTGTTCTGTATAAATATTGATAGGATGTGTAACAAAAAAGAGTAACATAAATGAATCAGCTGTCAGATTCACACGTTACAACATTGACTTCCACTGTTCATTTTTAAGTTTACAGTTGTTCATTTGAGCAAATGACAAGTAACTCCTTGAATGTATAATTATGACGTTTTCAGTAGCACATTCAGTCGATCCGCTATTGTTTGCCATGCCCTTTCTCGCTCCTTTATAATAGCGGCAGTGTTTCCTTTTCTGAGTATGATGCGCTTCAATTCCTCGTAAGTCTCCATTAAAAGATGTTGCTCATTTGGTGTGAAGTATGCAGTGTTGGGTAAGTCACTCTAAAAAAAGTCATTAATTACTAGTTACTAATTACCTCTTCAACAGTGCAATTAGATTACTATACTAATTACTCTCTCTAAAAAGTATTTAATTACTTTTAATTACTAATTACTTTCAAAATCCCATATCAATCTCAACCAGCTGAATAACATGAATCTGTTTTAATTCTTTCAATTAAATACTATAAAATTGCATGAATTATTCTTAAACTGACCAAGGTGGAGAAGGTTACATTATAAAAACATACTTTTAGCATCAGACAATACATTTTGATGTTAAACCCACTATTGTTTTATGTCTGATCTCATGACATTTCACACTTTTTTCATACACATTTTACAATAATTCATAAGAATTTGTACGAGTGCGGTCGTAATATTTAGACACTCCCACTTATCTGAATTACTTACACCTGGCTTGACATAGCCGCTCCTCCTGAGCCTGGTTTGGCCTTTGTGAAACTGATAAAGCCAGGATGCACTGACCACACTAGGTCAAGCCCAGCTTTATCTCTTATCGTGGATTTCTAAATTCTGCTTTTATGAAACAGCCCTCTGTTTTTTGTTTTGTTTGTTTTTTTCTCAACGAGTCAGTGTGAGCTGTTTGATTACAACTATTCTTCAAAATATCTTCTTCTGTGTTTAGCAGAACAAAGAAACATATACAGGCATGGAACAGCTTGAGGGCGAGTAAACGATGACAATTCATTTTTGGGTGAACTATACCTTTGAGTAACACTTAAAAAAATATTGATCAAAAACAGAAATAAATCACTCTATTCGGTAATACTTTTTAAAAATGCATTCTATAAGCTTCATTTGAAATTATTTTATGGATTACTATTGCATTTATCTAAAATTTTAAACATTACTTAAACAGTTATAAATGTTTTTTTTTGTCAGCTTTAAGTTGGTTTATTATTTTACTGTTACACGTTTTAAAAAAAATAAATAAATTTTTAATGACATGCGTCTGTCATTTAAAAAAAAATACTTTATATAATTTGTAATGGTTGATAAAGGAGTCCATTTTATTTTCATATTTTCATTTTGCAAAACTAGGACTTCAATAAACGTAATCAAATTCACTGATTTTACCTTTCTTTTTCTTCTTTTCCACCTGCACTGGTGTCTTCTTTCCATCTTCCTCCTCTTCTTCCTCCTTGGCATCTTCTTCATTCTTGTTTTCTTCCTCACTCTCTTCCTCGCTTTCAGACATTTCATCAACTCCTGAAAGATAGCCGTTAGAGCTTCCCAATATATGCATTAGATGAAAGTACATTCCTGCAAACAAAGGGGGAAAACCCCTTTAGTCACCAACCTTTAGGGACGTCCTCTCCCTTATTGGGCTTGGTCTTCTCTTGCTCCTCTTCTTCAGAACTGGAGCAAAGAAAGGAAGATGAAAATGATTAGACTGCAGTAACCATGAAAAGGGGCTGTTTGCATGTGGCAACAGTAACTCTGTGCAGAGAGATGTGTCCGTCATTGGAGTCACCTGCTCTCGTCTGACATGTAGTCCACCTCCAGCCCCTCAAAGTCGCCATCATCACTATCCTCGAATCCTTCAAAGTCGCTGCCCTTTTTCTTCTTCTTCTTTCCCTTGCCTTTGGGGCCTTTGTCCTTTTTACCTTTCGACTTAGCTTCATCATCTGCATTGAAAGAAGACATTTAATTCAGAAAGTCCTACGTGAGACACTCCTCTTCCTCTCAGAACCTTTGCTCACCTTCTCCATTGCTGCCGTCGCTCTCATCGCTGCTCATTTCGAAGTCATCCTCAAGGTCATGTATGCGCAGGTCTCCCCCCCTGCCTCCCTTCTTCTTCTTCTTTTTCTTCCCTCCTTTTTCTCCTTCCTCCTCATCCTCGTCTCCTCGCTCCTGTTCTTGGAAACGTCGCTGGAGCATGATACTGAAGTGGTTCACCACTTTATTCCTCCTATATACAAAGACAAGCAGATGTGATGTTTGAGCTTTGGACACATTTACAATTATCACAAACTTGCTGTCTAGCAGTGCAATCAGGGCTATTTCCGTGCAATGGAATGCGACCACTCAACCTGCCCCACTCTTCCTCTGCCTCCTCGGCTGTGAGAGTGCGGTGTTTGGCCTGCGGTGTGAAGTTATACCAGGCGTGCACAGGAAACGCCTCAAAGGCACCATCGGCACACTGGGTGAAGATGTAGTAGGACGCATTCTCTGTGACCCCGCCTTTTTTCAGACCCTTGAATCTGAGTGGAAGAGGGGAACATGAGCTGTTGTCCAAAAGCATGTAAACATTTCACGCTATGAATAAACACTTGACCGTATGGATTTGGTTTTATTTCCTCTCAAATTTCATGTTTTCTGTTTAAATCTTTCTGCATTCTATTTTAATGAAACTGTAAAAATCAAAAGTGATATCTAATCAACTAAATTCATAAAACTTTACTAATTTGTTTAAATTTTAACAATAAAATTGCATATGAAATGTGTATTGATTTTTTTTTCCTGAAATGATGTGTTGTCTGAATTGACATCTATTTGTGGCAATCAATGTTGATATTGTGGCGAGCTGCCACAGATAAATCAATGTATGGTAAACACTGCAGTCTTTTTGCAGTTAAATATTCATAGAGACTAGTGCATAATTGTAATTTTATTAATTGTACAGACCTACTTTTGACTTATACATCCAAATTTTCTCCACGAAATTCAATTTAAAATATATATTTTTAACACTGGATTCCATGATTCAGTCCATGTTTATAGGACCCAAAAATGAAATAAGAAATTAAATTATTTGCTTATTAAGAATTTTCAGCTATATACTCAAGAATTACTCAAGAAAGAGGCAACTAGACGAAAAGAATAAAAGCAGAGACATGTACCTTCTTCCTGCCTTTCCATTAACTTTAAGGATCCAGGGCTGGTCCTCCACCTTGAACTCCTTCGTAATGATGCCATACTTCTTTCTCCGTGATTCCTCTCTCTGTTTCTTTCCAAACTCACTGCCTGCCGCCCCCTCCTGATTCTCCTCTTCACCATATATACGTCTATTGCTCATATCCCGCTCCATACGAGCCTAAATGGATGTATGGATGGAGTGTTAAAAAAATTAAGAAAAGAGAAAACAAATGGAAAAAGACAGGGAAGAAAATATGGCATAAATAAAGTAGTGGTCTTATATAATGCCAGTTTACCTGAGTCCATGTAGAACAGCTGACTTTATCACCAGCATTGAAAGCCATTAAGTTGTATTTCTTACTGGTGTTTCTGTTGGGCAAAGAAAGACGACCTGAGTTTAGATATCAATCTAGATATCAATACCAAACTCTAGTTGAAATTAAATAATATAAATATATAAAACCTTACTTTGGAACTCGTACTACATACTCCGTTGTGGAGGAACTGCTGCTCCCCTGCAAACAAGAACAATCTCTTAGGACAGTTATACTTCTAAGAGTTTGTACTGCTGAACTGTACAGTTTGATGATATTATTGATAAAAAATGCATACGCCACTTCTAAAATGACACAATTTGTATTCTGCCAAATATGACTGGTGTTGGACAATCATAATGATTATAACTAGATGCTGAGGCACTTACCAGTGACGTCATCACTGCAGAGCAAGACGTAGCCTTAATAACCTGCAAGAAAATATGATAGTATCTTTGAAACGGACGTCCGAATTCTGGTCATATGATCAACATGTTGACCCACATGAGGCGACTCGCTCAACGTAAAATAAAACTTTAATTAAAAGAAACATATAGCTTTTATTTGCCTGCTTATATGACTGATTCTCCGTATCATTAGTGTTCTTTATTTTTAGTATTATAATTTTTTTTCAAGGTACACAGCATATGTTAAAAAACATACCTAGTCCATACAAAACGTAACTTGGATTTCAGATAAATAGTAATTTTCACATGATATATTGTGATGTGCATTTCAATGGTTCTACGTTGATATGATTTTTTTAAAGTAAGTTAACGTTAATAAAGAGGGATATGAGCAGTCAGCAGGTCATGGACACATTAGTTGATATTGTTAGATAAGTTTCACACTTAAAATAAGTCTTGATTTAACAAGACAATGGAAGTGGACAGCACATTTTCTCAATGTACTTATTACACTGGGTGAATTCACCGACATTGATATATTATTCATTGAACATCCATATGCATTTAAGGTAGACAGGGCGCACTCACCGTAAAATCTTTGGTTGTGCTATGTTCAGATGTATGAACCGATGTATGTATGTTACCGAGCAAAAAGAAAAGGTCCGATGATCCACTTCACTAAGCAATACTTGTAACGCACTTCGTCTGGCAGCGGATATTGTTTCTAATTTGGGTATTCGATAAAAAGATATACTAAACTCTCTTTAAAAGGGTACACTGACAATAAGATGGTAGCAGCTCACACTGCCCACAACGAATATTCTTCTTCTCTGAACTTGTCATTAGTTTCATTGAGACTTACTGCCACCTGCTGTACCGAATAATTACTGCTAGTGGTGGGCGCCCACCACACTTGTCACTGCGAAATATTTTCACATCTTTTTTTCGATTCAGTGGTTCGGAGCCACATACTGTAAAAAAAGTACCAAACTGCCAAAGTCACGTGAGTTAAGTAAACGAGCTCTGGCTCTGAACGAGGATTCGGAACATCAGAACTGTTTCGAAACGTGTCGAAATGTCAATGGTTCGCCGCTGGGGTGATCTCCACTCGCTACTCGATCCCTCTGTTAGGTTAGCCCATGCAGTAGTATGCGGACTCATCGCCCTCCAGTGGCGAACCATTGAACAAGTGTCTAAGAGTTTTACGGTTTTGCCTGATCTCTGATCAGTTTATACATTTGTATGGTTTAATGGTAGGCTACTACATCAGTACAATAATAAAAATATATATTAATAGTCTCTTATTGACCTGTTTAGCTGAGCCATGGAACAAACAAAACATGCCCTGAAAATTGATTTACACCGGCACTTGATATTTAATCTTATTAGATTATATTTGCATAGATTTAACGTTCAATAAAACATTTGCAATGGGTTTGTGGAAAGTGTTTTATGTATGTTTTCCTGATTTTGTGTTTCAAATTGCATTTACACTGTTTTGGCAAGTAGCCTATAGGTCGATCGTGCTTCGAAACACTCAATCATTTTGCAAGCAATTCGTTCGAAGCATTAAAAAGCTTTGTTTCTTCCCATCACCAAATTACTGCACTCACTGAGTGTGAGTCTGCACAAAGCAGATTTTTTTTTCTGTGAAGTCTTAACTGACTTAGATACCTTATTCGTTGACCCAATATTTTCAATTTTAAACTAACATCCATCGTAAAAAAAAAAAACATACATCACACACTGAATTACATATGAATTAGCCTATTACATTAATCCCAAAGAGTGAAATGAAAATAAACCCTTTTTATTTATTGTGCACAATCTTCACTCAAGCTGTAATTTGCCAAATTACTCAGATAGTGAGTAATTACTTTTAGGGTGAAACCTAAAATTCTGGCCGTCAAATTAGCCTTGTAGCAAAACAACTGAGTTCGACAATTTTAATCAAAATGTTATTTTGTGACAAAATGTTCTCACAATGGACAATTTGAGATTCAGTTGGACAGAAATCTCCTGTGATATATTTACACTGCTAGATATTGTTAGAAGACAGATTCAATTAATTAGTAAACAGTGTTAAAATATTTATTTAATTATATTTAAATGTCCACAGGGCCAAACGTTGTACCATTTCACTTTTGCACAGCTAAGAAAAGTTAAAGAAAATGCCTACACTAAAAAAACCCATAAAAGCAGCCAGAAGCCATTAAAACGCACGCGCGCACACACACACACACACACACAAAAGATTTTGCTCATTTAAGCTTCACTTTAACCAATGTCACTGTGCATCCATAGAGAAGAGAGAGGAGGAAGAGGGTGAGAAAGGCACAGGCCATATTCCAGATCTCTTCAACGGTATCCTGCACAATAGATTCGGGTTTGTTCTCATTCATAAATATAGCCTCTTCAAATAATGCTGTAAAATGCAAACAGAGGAAACATTAAGATCACATTTGAAAATTATGACATTTCTAAAATGTATTAACTGAATTATTTCCTTGTGTTGCATGAAATAGTGCATACCTGATTTTTTGGAAATGTTAAGCAACTGGGTACCAGTTTCATGAGTGACCTTGCATGTGTACACGTCACCAGGTGCCCAATCTGAAGGCAGGAGTTGCAGGTGACTTTGGATGCTAAATTTGCCATCAGGGCCTTTTGCAGGGTTGGTTTCATTGTGGGCAGACACTTCATCCATTCCAAACAGCCATGTGATGTTGATTACAGGAGGACTGAAACCATACGCCAGACACACCAGCTCGCTAGCACCCAGCAGCAGCTTTGCAGATGGAGCAGATTGGATAAGAGAGGCTAAATAAAAACAGAGAGAAACAGATCAGATAATAGAACACACAGAGGTCTACTGTATATGTTGCAAAAATTTTTGTTGTATCTTGCTATCTTAGTATTTACTGTCTTTTACATAGGTAAATAGAAAGATATAGCAATCTGACGACGCCCACCATACAAGTTCTCCAAATTTGCGATAAATGGACTTTGGGATGACTCATGATAAACAATGCAAGAGTACACGCCTTCTCTCCACGGTGATGCAGGCAATATTAGGGCGCTATGCATTGAAAAACCTCCTGAAGTGTGAGCAACCACAGGACTGTTAGTGTAGTGAGACTCATTGAATTGCTCCCCATTTAGTTGCCACTGCACGGAGATATCAGATGGGAAGAAACCGGTGATGAAGCAAAGAAGGCTAGCATTTTGTCCTGAGAGATCGCTGTCTGAGGGTCTGAGGATCCTCACAGTGGGTTGTTTGGGGTCTGTGAACATTAGTCAACAATTACTGTAGGAAAGATAAAACTCTTTAACAGAAGGTTGAGAACTGTGAGCGCTCACCTCTGTTTTTTGAGATGTTCACCTGCTGTGTGACGTCAGAGCACAAATGCTTTACCTCACAGGTGAAGACAGCATATCTCTTCCATGTTTCAAATGAAACCTCCAAAATACTTTTCTTGCTCTGAGTGCCATTGGCATGATCTATAGGTGTTTGGTCAAAGCTATTTGGATTATGAGCGATTCCATTCTCTTTCCATTGGATGGAGAAATACTTGACATTCTGACCAACAACCAAACAGGTCAAATTCAGAGCTGTGCCATATCTCACATAATTTAAAGGACCATGCAGGTAAACCGCTGACTGCTGACTGGAAGGTGCAATCACTGTTGGACAGTAAACTTATGTGTTAAGATATTACATTCACTGAACTACAGATAAGGAAGAAACTACAACATTCTTTCGTGAATTATGAGATTGTCAGATATCTGCACCTCATTGCAATGTTATTTGAACTATGAGTGAGAGAGTTTATGCGTCACATATTTACCTGCACAAATACTGGTGTTTTTTTTAGCAGTTTTCCCACCGTGTTCATCAACAATTTGACAGGTGTAAGTGACCCCTTTATCCCACTCTTGCTGTGGCACCAATATCTCACTGTACACTTTCACATAGCCATTTTCCATCATTGAGACATCAAAAGCTGTGTCACGTTTCTCTGTAGAGTTTGAAAACCACTTGATCTTCAGGTCGAATCCTTTTCCAGAACACTGCAGCTTTTGTGGCTCTGAGCTCAATCTGAATTGACCCACACTGGGAACAACAACAAGCTCTATGGTAGGATCATCTATGGGGAAAAAAGTTATCAAATGTCTAATGAAGAAAATAAAATACATCCATATATTAATAAAATCAATTCATGTCTCCAATATAATTAATGATAAGAAGGTTTCATTTATTTACATTTAGTTAACATGAACTAACAATATAAGTATACAGAATTTGCTAATATTAGTTTAGGCTAATCTCAAGATTTACCAAAGATCCAAATCTGTTAACATTATGCAGTGTGAAATATCGTGAACGTGTTATTAAGTAAACAAAGGTGAAGACGTTTTGTAAACATATTGTTAAGTCAAGTGACGTGAAGGCCAACTCTGGGTAACTCATACTCGTAATTTGTTCTCTGGATTTAACCCATCCAAGTTTGTGCACACAGCACACACAGTAGGAGCAGTGAGTTGTGAACACACACACACACACCTACACACATCAGTGTTATATTGATGTATTTTGTTAATTTTTAGTTCATTTAAGTTATTGCATTAACAAATGTTAACAAACTAGACATTTTTTGGTAAAGAGTAACTGATGTGTTCAGAAATGTTCGTTCCCTACCAAAAAAGTTTCCAACAGCTTTGGATTTGAAGTTTTTGAAGGGTATGTGAACTTTGCAGGTAAAACTGTTTCCTTTCTTCTGGTGCTCACTAGGGATTGTAAAATGTGTGGTCAGGGACCAAATTTTTTCAGAAGCGACCCAGTCCACACAAGTGAAATCTGAGATATCAGCTTGGTTGGCCTGGAAGTTGATGCAGACCTCACCAGAGGGGAGATCTTTTACAACACACTCCAGTAAAGCAGTGCCCGACGGAGCTGATTCATTGAAAGTCCTCCTGATCACCACCACAGGATTCTTCTCCGTATCAGCTAAAGATCAAACATCCATTTTAATTCACAACATGTGGTTTTCCGAACCTAAATTGTCACATTTGATCAGTGCAAAATAAACAACTTACCAATTTGAATTTTACGCTCTTCTTGGAAACATGGATGCTTAGCAGTACAAACAAGGGTCTTCAGATTCAACCACTCGTCTATAGACAATGTCAAGTTGTTCACAAATTTATTGAGGTCTTTGGAAGCCCTGGTGGCTTTTTGTACGCTGTCTGCCAACCATAACACTTCAGTGTCGTTTGGCGCTTCAACAATACAAGAAATTTTGACTTCGTTCTCCTTCAAAATGTCTCTGAGATGGGCTCTCTTTACTTGGACTGAAGGTTTGGACACAGGCTTTGCTGTAAATGTGAAATTTATAAAGTTAGATTCATAGAATGATGATGCTTATATACTCATTATACTGCATATACTGTATGTAGGATTCATCTTCATTTTTTCATCTTACCTCTGCACATGTTGTATTCTAGCTTGAACTCTGTAGAGTTATGGGTGGCTTTGCAAGTGTACGTTTTGTTTTCATATTTAGCATCGATTGATATTTGACTTATGTAAGAAAAGGTTTTCTCCACTTCAGCAGTGGTCTGCAACGTTTTATTTTTAGCAGCACTGACAAGTTGATTCCCACTAAGCCATTGTACAGTAAGTTTGTCTGGGTAATAATCCTTCAACTGGCACTGCAACACGATGCTATCACCTTCCTCTGTACTCAGCAGAGCAATAGTGGGTGCAGTGACACGTTTTACTATTAAAACAAATAAAGAATCATTTAACTTGCAATGGGGTTAAAACAACATATAAGAGGTACAGATTTTATGAAAATCTTAATCAATCATAAGAATACTAGTCTTTTTCAATGCATTCATTTATTCAAATATTATTATAACCCCCCCAAACCGCCCAACCATCATGATAATTTTTTTAGTTGCAGATACTGGAATAGAAAAAAAAAAAAAAAGACGGTCAGAAAAGGAAATCAAAAAAACATGCTTCAGAAAGCAAATAGCAGATGGAAGTGTTAAGTAACAGTCAAGCTGAAATGGCAACCAAAAGCAGAACTGAAACCCATCTGCATCTTTCACACAGGGTTAAGCACATCTGCGCAGGAAAGACACCTTTTCATTTACATAAAATTACTCTCCTGTTATGCAATTTATGTGTTATTAAACTTGCAAAATGTTCACACAAAGATGCCACGCTTCAGTCACCCAATGAACAAAGTCTCGCAGATTCTGAAAAAATAAGGATTGGATTTAAGAAAGATATGTGCAGTTTATTATATTCAGAAATTAGGAAAATAATTCAAAACCTAGTTAATTAATATTACTATATTAATAAGTGTTACTCCTTATGCAGTGTATATTCATTTTTTTGAGCAACATTAATTTATCGTGCAAATTAGTGTTTTTCCTTGAGATGTCAAAACAGATTTGTGAATTTGAGATTATAAAAAAATACAAGAGAAGTCAAATCGTTTCTTTACTTTTATTAAAGTAAAATCTAAAAACAAAGAAAATGCACAATCACATATTTACAAAAAAAAAAGTAATAACTGCCATAGTCTTAAAGCTCTTCAAGGCCTTGCATCATGTCCTTAAATGGATCTTTCATTTCACCTGAAAGCATAATTGGACACCATTTACAGCAAGAAAAAAAAACTCAAATAAATATCAATAAAAATACAAAGCTAATTTTTTTTTTGCATCATCTCTTTCTCCAAATGATAACTTACTCAAACGTTCCAATAAAATCTAGTCTCATGTTTATCCTAAATTGAAAATTAGCTAAAAAGTCTAAAAGTGTATACCTTAACAAAAGTAGCACCTATGCTGTAGAACAAGGTGATGAGGAACAGGAAAACAAAGGTTAGAGCCGTGTTTGAAATGCCGCTATCATCTGTATCAATGGGTTCAAACAGGGGATGCTCCATCCACACGATCCACGCTGTGGAAACCAACAAGATCACATGTGAATTAAGACACTGTGCAACACAAGCTGAGAATAAGAGTCTGGCATATTCCTATGATGGTATTAACCAATTTGCCTGTCCATCCTAATTAAAAATAATAGACAGGTGAACTAAACGCGGGATTATGATGATTTTAATCAATTCACCTCTCCATCTTTATTTAAATTAGACAGGTGGACTAAAGGCAGGAGTTTTCAGTAAAAGAAAACCAATTAGAATATTGTGAGGGACAAATAGCCTTTAATAAACCATATTGTTTCTGAATTTTGATGATTTTTATTTATTTATCTTAACTGCTTACTAGATAATTAAACCATACACTTAAAGGTGACCATGAACGTATCAAAAAAAAAAAAAGTTGTGAATGTGTCTTGGCATGCTGTAGATGAACCATTGTGACAAAGAATTATCATTCTCTATGCCCTAAACTATATAAAATGGAGAGAATTATGTATCTGAGTGATCATATGTGTCTGAAATGACACACAATATGCACACACACACACACACACTGATAAGCGTCTACTCTCATTATTTAGAATTGTATGTGCCTGCTAATGGTACTTTGTCTTCTGAATACAATTCTTTTAAAATATTTCATTTTATGTATTTATTTTAAAGTACTCTTAAAATGCATCACTTCGATGTATTATTTGAACTGTTTCATGTCTTCATTTTTTTTTAATTTCAATTTATTTTGATTGATGTTATGATGTCTTCATGACCTTACATGCTCACATATACACCGGGACAGACACATTAAACTGGCATGCAACATAAATTAAGTGCACAGGAAATATGCTTAGTTTCTTTTTTTTATTAGTCTTTTCCTAAATTGATGTGCATGAAAATATCTCAAAAAGCAAGAAGCCACAAACGTTAAAGACAAACACACTTACAATGATGGACATGTAACTCAAAAACAAAAACAAACACATGATGAACAAGATAAACACTCAACAAGCATAACAATCACTGGCATAAAGATTCCTTGCAGGACGCAGGGGTATTCATACTTAGATTAATTACACCTGGCTTATCAATGTTATCAGAAATAGATCTTGTCAGTACGCGCATTGTTTCATCAATGGTTTCATGGTACACTACACAACTGTACACTGTACCACTCTTCCATTCGGAAGAATCCACTGTGATCTGACTGTAGACCGAGAAGTATTTATCATTCTGCATTGGCAGGCTAGTTTTGTGCTTGTACCCTTTCGCAGGTTCATCATCAACAAGCCAAGACACAAACACCTCCTTGGGGTAGAAATCCTTCACATAACATGTCAGGGTCATCGTTTCACCCTCTTTGTTCTCTGGGGGTGCTAACATGTAAACAGAGGGTCTCTTGTCTGCATTACCTAGTAAGACAAGATCACAATTAAGACCAGAATGTGGAGTCATTCTCCTTTTCTTCTTATGTTTTGATAAACATCAATGTCAGTTGTAATGAAGACTGTATATCAGGAGACCTCATGGAAGCAAGAACTGTGTGACGTTTTACAAAAATAAAAAGACATACCATTTTCTCTGGTGAACGTAGTCTCCATGGGCTGTGATAGGCCTGAGTGTTCAACTGTACACGTAAAAACTGTGCCGTTGGTCCATTCTTCATAGCCTATAGGGGCTTTGAGTTCCACATTTATTTTGTTCTTGACATGTTCCTCTGATGCCTCATCGATGACTAAATCATTTGCTTTAATCTCTATTTTTGTGAATCCTGGAATTTCTCCAGAGGCTTTGCACTTCAGCTCTCCTTTTCTATTTTTCAGCATGTCTTCAAGGGAGGGAGGGACTATAACAACAGCAATATTGCTGCTGCTGCAGTCTTGCATAGAAGCTATGTACAAAAATCAGACATGCAACAGATTTAGAGAGAGGTAAACATTATGAATAAAGAAACATTCACAGTCCTCAAGAGAAAACATACCTGTATACTGGGCCCCTATGACTTGATTTCCCGTCTTGTGCTCGAACTCGCACTTAACTTTGGTTTCTGGGTTCGTCCATGTATCGGCACTGATTTGAAAAATGCTTGTGGCACTATACAAGGTAACTGAGGCATTCTTCTCACTTGTGTCATATGTGCTTATCGCATTTGTCACCAACTTTTCATTCTGAAACCACTTAAACGAGTAATGTTTAGGCGAAAACTGCTGGGCTAAACACAAGAAGGTTGCTGTCCCATTCTCTAACGACTCTTTTGTAGGTACTGTTAAGAAGACAGTTGCAGGCCGATCTGGCGCAGGGGCTGACAACAGAAAAGCAAAGAGGACATGAAAAGCAAGAAAATAGTGCAACATGCTTTATTAAGCAAAGCACATAGATGCTCTTAGTTGAGTTTGTACTTTAGTGTCAAATGTTATAGCCTATATATATATATATATATATATATATATATATATATATATATGTTTGTGTGTGTACATACATGTGTAATATGTATATATATATATACATATATATATATATATATATATATATATATATATATATATGAAGAGTTCAGATGCAAAAGCCTCTAAGTGCCATTTGAAATTCTCTTCTAGAATAATCATTTTTATCAAGCTTGTATATTTAAATTCAGTAATTTCACTTAAATGGCAATTCATAGGTATTTTTCATTGCCATTTAAGTGAAATTACTGAAATTAAATATACCAGCTTGATAAAAATTAACATTCTTGAAGAAAATTTCAAATGGCATTTAGAGGCTTTTGCATCTGAACTGTATATATATATATATATATATATATAAGAAGTATCATATGCCATTGTATTCCTTGGCATGAGGTCACAGAAAAAGTATTTCTGAAAGCCTAAGCATTATTGTGTTTTTCTGTTCTTACATTTTTTTAGACCTAGAGCCTTGTTGTTCTCAGCTATTGTAAACATTCACTGTCAGACTTTGATAAAGGACAACTGCTTGACATGCACAAAAATATAATAGCAGGTTCACTGGCGTTAAATAATTTAATCAATGATCTGACAAAACTAAAATAGTGTAATAAAAATGTCTATTCAAACATGACCCTCCAAGAAGAAACATCATCCCAGCAGCAATACAAGACCCAACAGCAAGAGAAACACGTGAAGTAGCTAAAATTTCAAACGTAAAATGTTATGACATTTTAGATATGCGACTTACCTGGTGGAGCTACTTCAGCTTTTAAAATGCCTTCTGAATTTGAAGCTTCACATATGTAAGGGTTTTGAGGATTCCAGTCGCTTTTTTTCACACGCAGATGGCTGATTTTGGTATAGTCTCCGTCACTACCGAACGCTGGATACTGCACGAAAGTATCCAGAGTTTTATCACCAGGAGCCTTCCACTTGAAAGTGAGTGAGTCCGCAGGGAAGAAACCTCTGGTCAAGCAGCCGACGGTAAGGAAATCAGAACCAGCAGAACACTGAGACAGGGCGAAGATGGACTTCGGCGCCGATGGTTGAGCTGCAGAGACATTACATCTTTCTCAGACAATATATAAACTACAACATATAACGTAATACTGTACATGTGCAACACTATTAGGCCATGCCAAATGAATGAATGAATGAATGAATGAATGAATGAAAAATAAATTGATTGAGATTACACCGCTATTTTCGTTTTGAATCTAATCCTCCTGTCATGTTGAAGTAGCTAGGCCTAGTCATCTTTTCTTCTTCTGCTTTAAGACTGATCATAACATTTTAAAGTAGCTAAGTTGCCTTAACAAGTAAACTGGTCTAATTCGAATAAAAAAGTAAGACTAATTACTCCTTGGTATAGTAACTGCTTTAGTCTCGTTAAAAAAAAAAAATGTTTTTTTTTTCTTTTTTTTCTTACGTGGTTCCAAAAGTGAGTTTTTACTGCAGTACCCTTGAATAACTATTTCGGGTTCCTCAAAGAACCTTAGTGAACAAACATTTCTTTTCTTAGTGTGAAGAACATTTTATTAGGCTAATCTAAGAAAAATCTTTTGTGCAATGGAAAGATTCCAAGGATATTAAATGGTAAAGGGTTTTTTTTTTTATGAATGTCATTTAAGAATCTTTATTTTGAACAATCTGCTAGGCTATATGTCATTTAGCATATTTCTAGTCATTATGTATTATCAGATATATGGTAATTAATACTAAAGGATTATCTAAATGAATAACACTTTATTAGGCTACAGGATATGACTGCATAAAGACTTTTCATTTTGATTCAAATGAAACAGTTATTGCAACTTTTGAGATTTTATATTGAAAAAATAATTGAATTAAAATTTAACCTTTTGAAAATTTTAAATAAAAGCATAATACAGCCGTTTGTAATTTTGAACTATGAAATCATATGGAAAAAAAAAAAAAAAACGAAAAATGTTCATTATCATTAAAAAATAAATAGCCCCCCAAAAATTCATTGTGCTTGAAATAATTTCAATAATAGCGGTTGTTCCACAAAAAAACAAAACAAAAACAAAAAACAAACAAACAAACAAAAACATTCTTTTAAATCTCCAGTTATCATCTTCATGCATTGACAGATACCCTTGTAAATCAATAAGCTATGACAGTTTATTATTATTATTATTATTTAATAATATCGGGATGCAATCAACAATTTAGAATGTAACACATTATATTAGTGGATAGCAGTGTATAAGTTAGAATGACCCAGAGACGTTATACGGTTCAGCCAAGTTTTTTAGTCTTATGCTCTGGCTGATTTCAGCGTCTCATATTTGAGCAGTTTAAGGCAACACATGTGAGAATAATGTACAACGAAAGTAGTCGTTTACGAATACTTTTGTATTTTTGTTCGTTTTTAACAGATGAACATTTGTTATTACATTTGACATTTTTAAAGTAGCTATAGCATAGTCTTTTAGTGAAATGGACAACAGACAGTTTGCAATAGAAAACTATATTGCATAATATATATAAGGCTAGATAAATAAATACATAAATAAACACGTGGAATTTTGACGTTTTACAAATGTATACAAATGTCCTTGCAATTAATCATAAAATCTTACTGTTTGTTACGGTGACTTTGGTGCCGCTTCCCCAGTAGTCGAAAGCCCAGTTACACAATATAGGCTACTTTTAATCTTAAAGTGCAGTATAAAATACAACGCTCGGAGTTTGTTGAACGATGCCGCCAATTCCTTGTTTTAGAAACGCGCAAATTAGCTATTTATAATTATTCATAATCGGAATGTTTGCGTTTCTAGCTAATTACTTTATGTCCTGACTTTAAATGTTCTAATCGCACAACAAGAAAAGCTCGACATTGAAATGTTAATTTAATCTAGAAAAAAAAAAAAATCCGACAAAATAACTGCGCACACATTTATCCTACTTAGATCAGATTTTGATTTGTTAGGTGGGTATTTTTCTTACCTGACGAGACAGTGATCAAAGTTCCTTTTCCCCAGTAGTCAAAAGCATTGTCACACTGACACTTTACCCGGGGATATTGTACAAAAATAGCAGCTATATCATAGGCTAACCTCTTAACAAGTAGGCCTAACTTTATTTTATTATTACATAGCCACATATTGGACTATGTAGACTTATATTTAACCATAGCCAAAACAGACAAGAAAGGGAAATTTACCTTTAGCCTAATATTTAAATCTTGCCAGCGTTATTGAGAGGAAAAACTGAAATGTAACATCTTACCAGATGTCACTGTGACAGATGTGCCTTTCCCCCAGTAGTCAAAGGCAGCGTCACAGTGATCATTTTAATTTCTTCAGTGCACAAAAACACAAACGATCTTTTCCACATTAGCCAACCTTAAAACCTGATTTTAATCATCCATGATATATTTTTGTCTGATTAAAAAGCTGTTGTTAATTAGTTAATTTAATCGCCTCTAGAAATATGTTTTATATACATAACGATTCGTATGTTTGTATCGATTATATTTAATTTGGTTCGTAGGCAATTTTAAATCAAAATTTGACTTCTTACCTGATGTCACAGTCACCGCTGTCCCCTTTCCCCAGTAGTCAAAGGCACCGTCACAGCGAGAAGGTTAACGATAGAGCCATACCATAACCACAATACATTTTATGCAACATTTTGTCTAGGCCGACGTCAAAACGATTTAGTTTGAAATGTTAGTTTGCACTTTCTTTAATCGGTGAGTTTTACGCGCATTATCGTTACGCTTCCCCTGTTAACCAAGGTAAAATTTGTAAACACGTCTGCATATTAATTTTATGAAAGAAAGACTATCTGATCTTGCAAAATAAGTAGAAATAAAATAACAGAAAATATCGGCAATATCTTACCTGAGGAAACGGTGACTTTGGTCCCTTTCCCCCAGTAGTCGAAGTAATCGACACAGTGACTGGTGCATTTAAGTTCCCGACCAAAAAACCACACGAAGCATGTGATCAAGAATTTAAACCTAAATTAACATGTGTTATTCTACCTTTTGGTCAGAATAAATGGATTCAGTGAAAACGTTTGCTCTCGCCTCTACTGTCTGTATGCTGACCAGGTCAGAAATATTTGCAGCATGTGTTGCATTTGCCTATAGCCTATCTAAAACATGATGACCCTGAAATTAGAAAGCAATTTTTTTAAGAACATGAATCAAACTCTTCCTGCTTCTGCCTTCAGTTCAGATGTGATTTACTAATATACGTAGGCCTAATTAAATAGAATAAAACATGTTTTGAATGAAAAATCATTATTTTATACAATGGGTAATTCTTAGACTACTGTATGGGCTTGTACTTATGTACTTTGGTCATATTTTTAAAAATACAAATCATTTTAGGCAAATTCCTCTTTCGTTGTCAAACTAACAATAAAAATGTCATGTATTTGTCTCTTGTTTTGTGTGCAAACGCATGTCCAGTTGTTTTGGGCTATGTGTTTGCATTGTCTTGTTTTACCTCGTTTGCTTGTTAGTTAATGTTGTATCAGTGTCACCTGTGATTGTGATCATGTGTCCTTACCACGCCCCTCATTAGTATTGATGTTCATCAGTGTCACCTGTACCTTGTGATTATGTGTTCTATGTAAGCTCTCTGTGTTTGTTCCTCAGTGCTGGTTTGTCTTGTTAACATTTGGTTCTGTGAGTATTGTGATCTTTCCGTTTATGTTGTAGTGTTGTTTTATTGTCAAGTCTACAAATAGTTATTGTTTTACTGTTTGTTTGCCCCATTGTGGGTCTTTGTTTTCTGGTTAAATAAACGGTTTTGTGAAAGACACTGTCTGCGCTTGGGTTCTATTTAGCGGAATTTGACAGAACGAACCAGCCAATTTTTGAACCCAGCAGACAATAGGCTATGTCTTGCTCTGCCAGAAGCCAGTTGGGTGAGCGATGGTGGCAGTCGACCATCGAGGATATGAGGAGGGGCAAGATTCCGTTTCCTCCCCAGGGAGAGAGATCACTGGAGAGATATACCCAGGGCCTAGAGGAGAAAATAAATTTTACGCCGGAGGTCCTCCTAAACTCTTATTTCATCACAGGGCTCAATGTACGGCAGGGGCTGATCTGACGCCCATTTCGAGAGGTAGTGGACCATGTGCATCAAAAGGAGCGGCAGGACCCCATGAGGACATTGTCAGTTTCTGCATTGCCAGTGATCCCAGAGAGTTTTAAAAAAGTATATATTGTTTAGTTAGAGTATTTTGCATACATGAATAGCTAAGTATTAATTCAAAGCTAATCAGTAAAGTTATTTTCCATTTTTATCCCCCCCAAAAAAAAAAACTACAGAAATGTCACTTCCACCACAGCCATTTCCACCACACTGCCCTCTGTGGTGGAACTGACATTTATGGTAACAAAGTACAATTGATATGGATTTGAAGAGTAGATTTGTATTTTATATATTATAATGTATTACAAGACTTTTTATATTTATATTATTATATTATGTATAAATATCTCCCTCCTCCTTGAACTGCCACCTTTTGATGGTGGAGGGGTTTGAGACCCCGGGGAAGACCTAGGACACGCTGGAGGGATAATGTCTCCCGGCTGGCCACAATTAATGAGATTATGCTCTAATTATATAAAAATTCAAGTTATTTATTTTCTAATAAGCTCTTTCCCAAACCAATATTAAATTTCAGAGTGTGACTGGTGTACAGTTCAGCATTTAGCCTTAATGGCAGCTAATTTATCTACTTGAAAAATATATAATTATTGTATATTGTGGAAAAACTTATAAAACTAGTTACAAAAATGATCTTAGACAATTCTTGAGTGGCATAAGTTATTCTATTTTTAAATAACAGCTGTATATTGCCATCAGGATATCCCAATAACTCACAGCATGTGCCTTGGACCAACCCGAAATATATCCTCCGCCCACTTCAACATCTGTAGCCCCTCCAGCACCAGAACCTATGCAACTAGACTCCACTCATTAAAGGACAACTCCGGCGCAAAAAGAACCTTTGGTATAATTACACATTTTTACCTAGTCAACCGTTATCTGAGATTTGTTTTCGTGATTACCGAATGTAAATAGTTTTATCTCTAAAAACAGTTTAGCCTATAACGCTAGTATAACGCTACTATATGGGGCATAGAGTAATGACAAATAAAAATCGCTTGTTATTACCACTAACAAGGCTCAAAATAGCCCCACACTAAGACGATAGCATAATAAGGGTCCCTACATTCAAACCGAAGCATTGAGAAATTTGTCAGTGTCCATAAAGTTTAATAAGAAGATATTTTATACACACAGTCAACTTCGCGAATACAGGAAGAAGCCATCTTTGAAAAATAGTCTCTACCAGTCGATCTACGAACGCCGATCCTAGTATATATGCCCTATATACTAGCATTATACTAGCGTTATAGGCTAAACTATTTTTAGAGATAAAACTGTTTACATTCAGCAATCATGAAAACAAATCTCAGATAACGGTTGAATAGGTAACAATGTGTAATTAGACCAAAGCTTCATTTTGCGCCGGAGTTGTCCTTTAATGCTGAGTGTCAAGGTCGCATCGTAAATCGTCTTTGCTTATACTGCGGAGCTGAAGGACATCTTTTGCCCACCTGTCCGGTGCGACCTCCCAACCCGGTCTCATCCCAAGACGTCATATAACTGACGTTTTGGGACGTCTTTTGACCATACGTCAATATTCGCCTTTTTAGGGCCCCCTTAAACGTCGGTAGATGAGGTTATGAGATCCTAACTCTACCCCATACCTAAACCTAACCCGAAACCTAACCCTAAACCTAACTGACGTTAAAGGTAAAGCATCAGTTGTATGACGGCCCGGGATAGCCATCTACCGACGTTTAAGGGGGCCCTAAAAAGGCGGATATTGACGTATGGTCAAAATACGCCCCAAGACGTCAGTTATATGACTTTTTGGGATGAGACTGTGTTAGACCTCCACATCCAGCAGTAAGTGTCCTTCAATTACCACCTCCCATATCTTTACTAAAAAGCACTGATGTTATCGTCAACAATCTCTTTCAGCGAAGGCCCTTATAGACTCAGGTGCTGCTGGTAACTTTATTACTTCCTTCGAAGACTTCATCTCCATGAGAAAAGTTCTTCAGGTGCATTCGATCCTGGGAAAACCGCTGGGCCGTGGACATGACTCTGAGAAGTTATCGTTCTTGGTGCTTTTTGTGGGTAAAGGACGGAGGCTTGCGCCCCTGCATCGACTGTCGTGCTCTCAAATCTCCAAATGTCAAAATTTTCACTAACCTCTTCCTCTGGTTCCAGCTAGCCTAGAGCAGTTACATGGTGGTTGTATTTTTACGAAGTTAGACCTGTGGAGCACATATAACCTTGTTCGAATCCACAAAGGTGCCAAGTAGAAGATGCCGTTCGTTACTCCATCAGGGCAATACAAGTACTGGGTTATGCCGTACGGGCTGTCAAACGCTCCTTCCATCTTTCAAGGTTTCATGAACGAGGTGTTCTGGGAATTCCTTCAACGCTTTGTCATTGTGTAAATACACAATATTCTCATCTACTCCCGGAACTGACTGATCATCACCACCACGTCACGCAGGTCCTACATAAGCTTTGTGAGACCCATCTCACCCTGAAACTCAAAAAATGTGAGTTCCACTGTGACACAGTTCACTCCCTCAGGCACGTAATTGATCAACACTGCATCAGGATTGACCAGAGGAAGGTAGAGACGGTGGAGAACTGGCCACAGCCCACTTCTATCAAGGAACTCCAACGCTTCCTGGGATTTGCCAACTTCTACCGTGGCTTCAGTAAACTCAGGTCATCACTCACTTCCTTGTTGCACAGTGGGGCCAAGTCTCTGTCCTGGAACTCCGAAGCTAACACTGCCTCCACCCTACTGAAGAAAGCCTTCAGTACAGCTCCTACCCTCGTTCATCCCAGTCCAGATCTCCTCTTCATCGTCGTGGTGGATGCCTCTACCAATGAGGTAGGAGCTGTGCTATCTCAGTGGCAGGGTGAGCGTCCCAAAAACATTTAGCCTGTGTATTCTCCGTGTTTTGTTCAGTTCTTTGTCGAGTCTACATCTAAGTTATGATGTTGGATGAGTTTTCCCTGTAATTCTTCTATGTATTCTGTGGATTATTTGATTTAAAGATGTCTGATTGAGCTATTTGTGCACTTACTTACTCGTGACAGTGCACAATAAAGTTCAAGTCCACATTTGCTTGCAGAGCATATGGTTTAAACAAAGTATTAAATGCTTGATGCAAAAATATACAACATCAAAAAGGCTATGTTAAACATCAAATGTCGGTGAACATCTAAAAAAGAAAAGCATAAGGTTATTGTAACAGTTCATTCAAGAGCTCAGAGGTTTCATCTCGACAGTATAACCAGGAAACACCTGCATATTGTGGGAAGAATCTATCCGATCTGTTAAAAATATATTACATAAACAGTCAAAGTTAGCCATTATGGTTTAAATTTTAGTTCTGATATTTAGCTCAGCAAATTCAACATAACAAAGATTGGATTTTAAATACCAACAGCTCTCAGATTATCAACAGACAATCTCATTTATTCCAAATAAATTTTGTGTGTCTGTCTCATATCTTCATAACAAATACATTGACAAATCATTTACAAATCAATACATTTACAAGTACATTTACAAATCAATAAACACTAATTAAGTTACTAAATACACCAAACAAAATTATTAATGTATAATTTTGAATGGTGATATGAAGGTTTTAGTGAAATTGAAAAGGTTGTATTATCAGGAAAATAATGATGGCATATTAGGGAAAGAGGCATCAAAATACACTGGCCTACTCAATACAATATTCATGAGTCATGCATGCAGTATAATCAACAGAGATGTACTGCAGAGTGTTGTACAAAAAGGATCATATATCCATAGATCATATCATATTGAGGTTTGCCCCTTAACATTGTTGTACTAAATGTAAAACATTTGGACTCAAACTCCATTATAAAATCCTTCTTTCTTTATTTTATTTAATAAAAAAAAAAACATTTGTAAGAACAGCAAAATGACTACAAATATCTTTATTTATTTCTGTTCTATATAATAATTTATATATCATTTAGGATAATTAATTGAACTGTGATGCCAATTGGTGTACATGGTCAAGTAATACAGATTTTTCAAAAATGACAAACAAAAAAACACTTTTTAATTTTCTTGTAGGTTCTCTGTATGAAGCCTTAATGTAAAAAAAAAAATCATGATGGAAAAGGGAAACACTTTATGGGTTAATTTACAGATGATTCTGACATTTTTGTAGTGAACTGAAATACTGTGCCCCACCCCCCATATACACATAGTGACAGTCCGTAACAAAAACAGACATCTCACAGGAAAGCTTCTCGTGTGTCAGATCCTGGTGTTAAAGTTCAAGTCTACATTTCAAGTCTGCTTGCAGAGTGCGGTTTAAACAAAATTAATATTATTTGTTTGATGCTATTATAAGGCTATTGTTGGACACCAAATGCCAGTGAGCCTCAAGAGAAGAAAAACATGTTATTGTAATAATTGGATTCACTATAGTGATAATTCATTTACAGATGCTTCTGACCTTTTTGTATTTGACTGAAATACTGTGCACCCATCATACACAGAGAAACAGCCCATAACTAAATCAGACCTCTCACACGAGAACTATTCAGTCAGATCCTGGTATCAGAAAACAAAAATGTATCTTTAAGATTAGCGATCATTAAATTTTCATATGCAAATGACACTATTGAAGGTTTGTTGAGGACTGTTTTAAGAGGTCATAGTTAATTGTAAGGGGTTTATGAAATGAAATGTTTCACTGTGGCCACTCCATGCACAGTGATACATGCCACCTCAAATTCTCCTCATGCAACAAGCTTTACAAATATACCTCTTGATGGAGGCAGTAGTCCTACATTTTAAATAAAGCTATAGTGTTTAAAATGTTTAAAGGCATATTTGAGATGTGCAATGCCATTATTATGCCATGAATTTATTTAAAGTATAAATGTAGCTAATAGACTATATGAAACTGTGGACCATGACAGATGAAAAGGTTAACCTTTTTACGGTTAACCAATTTTTTTTGTCTTGGACTGAGGTTTTTGTCATAATTTTTATCACTGTGTCCGCTGTATTGCACAATGATCTGAACCATATCAAAAACTTTATTCATGGGCTGCTTAAGAATTTTAACATCCCTTCAAATAGCCTACTATATAAGCACAGTCAATATAAGCACAGTCAAATATATACCTGTACTGTATCAGACAAAGAAAAAACATAATTAGGCCTACTGATTTCTATTTAACGTTTCACCAATGACCTGAAAACACATGGCCTAAATTTTAGAAGCAAATTAATGCTCCCTAAAGCCAGACTGCTAATAAAGCTATATTAACATGAGTCATAAAACATTTACATTTAAATCCTTTAAATTTTGTAAAACTTATGCATCAGGTGTGTTTTAAATTAATTTATGAAGACACTGTAAGCAAATATTCATTCATCGTTCCACCATGGAACGGCTTTGTTCCTCCTATTTCCTTCAACTTTTGGTATACTTTCTTCTGTCTTTTTGACCAAACTCAAACAGTTTCTCTGTACATTTATCAATATCATCCTCTGTATTATAACTCATTAATTCTTCTCAGATATTTTAACATACTTCTCCATTTCCATCTTGTTGTTTTATCATCATATTCCTTTGCATTTCTAATCCTACCGAGCAAAATATTGGAAAATGGTCACTCCCGAATGATGACTGCTCTAGCACCTCCCATTGAAGTTTCACTGCTATTGATGTTGAAACTTGTTTCCTGATGTCGAACCTTGTCCCACTACCATCATTTAAGCAAACCAATAAATTGTCCACCATATATTCTTCCACTGTGCCATTTTTATCTGAGTGTGGACTTCCCCTTTGTGCATTAAAGTGTCCGCACCATGATATCACTTCTTCTTTACTCCAAATATTATTTAATGGACTTTATGCACAGCTGCACTACTTCCTGAACTTCAGCCAGCTCCTTGTTTCCTGTCTGCCATTATTGGCCAAATTGATTAGTTCAGGTGTGCCTGACCTCAGTAGTCATGGCAACAATAATCAGACACACCTGAATTAATCAAGTTCGGCCAATAATGGCAGAAAGGAAACAAGGAGCTGGCTTAAATTTTTGATATGTTTTAGCTTACCTCAAGGGCATCCAAGATGTAGTTGTCTTTGTTTCCACAGTATTTTCATTTTGATATTTTTCGGTCAAACCGTTTAGTCTATCAGTCATTCACTGGAGGTTTAGGTCCTCCTTCGGTTCACCTCAAAGAGCATGCACATGAGAAGTCAAAATTAAACATGATTGAATGACGCGTACATTTAAATGCACATTTATGCCCTAAGACACGAAACGAGCGGTTTGTGTGAGAAAACTAACAGTATTTACATTGTTTTTACCTTGTGTAACCACAGCCATGTCCAACTGATATGACAGCACGGGCGCTTCGGTCTGCGCATGCGCCGGAAGTGATCGCTTGCACGTCTACGTCACTCATTGTTTACACAGAGATTTCAGAAGTTTTACCTTTCACTAAACAAATTTAGATATACCAAAATCATCGTCCATTGCGATTTCCTGTATATCTAAATATGTTTAGTGAAACAGTACATGGCACGCTGCAGGCGCTCACTCCTCCTCCCCACACTGCTCTGAAGGGATTCGAGGCTATAGGCCTACATCCGATGCCTACATCATATATTATGTTTGGCAATGTGTGCCCCTAAATTGCGAGATGTCGAAGAAAACATACCATGAGTCCAATGTAAGTTAAATTAATTAGATATTACAATTTGGCAGTAAAACATTAAGTGTTGCATATTATATTGGTGCAAAGATTATAGGCTTTTGTACAACATTTGCAACTACTTTTTATCACTTTAAGCACAACAATAGCGACTTCTGTAACTGTCCTTTTTTAAATAAAAATAAAAATAAATAAAGAAAAAGCAAAGCATTTAAGTCTGTAAACACTTAAATAAAATCCAACACTATCAGGTAATCGTTACACACACTCGTTGCACTCGTCTACTTACATGACGTGGTCAAGACCGCAAGTGTGGGTATATGGACAGGGCATATAGTCTCGGGTCTCAAGAGTTTATGTACATGTGCAAATCATCGTGGTAGTTGTTATCACAGTGGCGTAAAGCCAGACAATAACTAATGGTAGCTCTAGTTTTTATAACGCAGCCTAATAGAGAATTCTGAGACTTTTCAGGAAATTACCATAAGTCATTCAAACAACAAAAAGTCAACAAAAAAAAGAGAGAAAAAAAAGAAAAAAAGGAGCGATAATTATATATTTATATTTTTTTCTTTTTTTTTTTTTAATCACAGCCTAGATGTAAATGCTTAAATTTAATATAGCTAGCTGAATATACGTTTTTGTCTTTCAGGAGATTTGAACTAGGCTATAATGCCAGGATATTGTTGAAAATAAGAACTTTTTCTTAAGTGACTTGAATAAAGGTAGGCTATATCTCAATAAATTTATCAGACGCTAAACTTACAACCTTCCTAGCCAACTTTTTCATTAATCTTTAATCTTTTATTCATTTTGATTAATATTGCTGAAAATTTGTCTACATTTTAAATCTGATATTGATGATGGTCGTGCATTAATTTTTTTAATTTTTTTTTAAGTGCATTTTTGAAGATAAACAAATAAAGTGCCATAATATAACATTAAATTATCAAAATTGCATGAAAAGGGATTTAGGCTTTAGGTATTTAGAATTAGGCTGTTGGGGAACACGGAAGACGCTTTTAGTTGAACCCTGGTGATGATTTCTCTGTCCTTTAGCTCCGCCTACTGGCGCGTCACAGTACTGGACTATTTAGCATTGAAATGTTTGTTGCTTCCAGATAATGGCAGTTGTCCTTTTGTCTAAATGTTACCACAGGGGAGGGGAAATTTCTTTGATTTTTTATCAAATCAAAGAAAAAAAAATAAATAGGGGAGAGCGGGGCACAACCTAACGCATTTTGGTTTTGGCTCAATTAATTAAAAAATAATTAGGTTAGATTAATAATTTTCTTCCACAAGCAACATACACATCTCTGCTACAAATGAACACTTAAAGTTTTTTTCTAGGACCTACCATTTTCATACAGTTGCACTGAAAGTGACAGAAGTGCAAATGTTACAACTTACCCCATATGCGGGGTAATTGTAACAGACAGAGGGGTTACACTTGTGTGTAACACACCTAATTCAGGACTATTTTATTTGAATAGTTTGATATTGTTTGTTTGTGCATCTGTATAGACAGATATCCATACATCCATCCCCCATCAAATCATCCTTCTATTGTGGATCAATATCATGGATAGAGACATAGAAAAGAGCTGCTACTTGAATACTTTTCAGAGATGATGATTAGCTGGTTCAGGCGTGTTTGATTAGGGTTTGAGGAGCTAACCCTCATTGAAGAACTATATGATAGATAAACATGTAGGCCTATCAGTGCATTTGTGTGCCAATAGCACCATATATTATACAAATCAATAGAGAACACACCTGTAGTTTTGATGATTGTATTTACTTTAATAAATGCATTACTAGAATAAACTGCAGTACTTCAATATGCAGTGTTCAATTGCATAATGAACTGTGTTAATTGTTTTGAGAGCAACTACATTCAGAGAAATGTGTTAAATGGATTGAGAAAAATGGTAACATATCAAATATATTTTTCTCACTGTACCACATGATGGCGCAAAGGCCTTTATAAAAAAAAGCAGGTTTGTGCTCCTCATCCAAATGTATGAAACTTGTGCATCATTTCGAAAATGCTTAAGTTTGAAACATGCTCTTTTAAATATTTTATTAATATTGTAACAAGTATGTTTTGTGATTTTATTTTTTTTAATCTTAAATGTAATTTTTAAAGTAACATTGAAAACACATTTCAATAAATCAAGTGCAAAATCATATTTTCCTGATCTCTTTGTTCTTGATCTGGATGTTCTTTTTAAAATTCTCATATTTTTATTATGTTTTATGTAAGACTTAAATTGACTTTGGACCCTAACTGAACTTATCTAGTATTTTTATTTTTTTTTAGTCTACTTTTTACATGTTCACACAATAGGGAGTTATCGTGTTTCTAAAATGTTTACATTTTATTTTGACACAACAAAATCATGGATCATGGAACACAGCTTGCCAGAAAAGAAGACATAATGTTCCAAACATTTCCAAACTGAATTATCAGACACTGAGAGTGTGATTCTTGCTTCGTAAGGAGACTTTACAAAAGAATACATAGTGTAATGCTACCCATAGTATTTTCTTAGGTCATTGTTTTATGAGGGACAAAGTTGTTCATTGTCAACCTTTGTTAATGTTCTGGAAGAATGATTTGAGACCAGAATGAATTGTTCTGTCAGCTTTAGTACATTTTAAATGTGATATTAACTGCTGTGCCAAGCTAGTTATGAGAGCTGTGTTAAGGGTTTTGAAAAAGTGTTGTGAAAAATGTGTCCAATAGCGACTGTAAAAAAACTGTAATATTTGGACAAGGGAGAGGAATAGTTGACGGAGGAGAGGACTAGTTCAGGACAAGGGAGGAGAAGAGGTAGGGGAGAGGACTAAGAATTTGTGATATTCTGCGTATTTATTTATTTACTCTTACACATGCGGAAGCCACAAATGTCGGATCTTCTGTTACTTTCTGTGAAAGGGAACTAACTACCAAGGGGGCACCATCAACAACCCCGCAAAGCAATTTCAACCAAGGTGGCAACTGAAGTTCTGCGCAGGGGACCCATTTGACCAGTGGCGGCCCTGAGCAATTATGTTGCTTGCTATTTTTTTTTTCCTACATTCTATATTAGAAATTAGATTACATCAGCCCATTCTCACCCCCAAGGCGTCACCTAACTGACGCCTTGGGAAGCATTTGGACATGCTTCAATATCTGACGCTTTAGGCGCCCTTTAGCGTCAGTTAGATGACGCCCTAGGATCGCGTGTACCCTACCCCCACCCCACACCTAAACCTAACCGCGTCCTCTAACTGACGCTTTCCTTTAGCGTCAGTTAGATGACGCCGTAGGATCGCGTCATTTAAGTGACGCTAAAGGGCGCCTAAAACGTCAAATATTGAAGCATGGTCTAACACAGTCTCATCCCAAATCGTCATATAACTGACGTTTTGGGACGTATTTTGACCATACGTCAATATCCGCCTTTTTAGGGCCCCCTTAAACGTCGGTAGATGGCGATCCCGGGCCGTCATACAACTGACGCTTTACCTTTAACGTCAGTTAGGTGACGGGTTAGGTTTAGGGTTAAGTTTAGGTATGGGGTAGAGTTAGGATCCCATAACCTCATCTACCGACGTTTAAGGGGGCCCTAAAAAGGCGAATATTGACGTATGGTCAAAAGACGTCCCAAAACGTCAGTTATATGACGATTTGGGATGAGACCGGGTTGCATGGTCAAAGGTGACGCCTTGGGGTGAGAATGCGTTGATTACATACTATATTATTCACTTAGAAAATATTGCCAACAAAATTCAACACAACCAAGAATGGTTGAAAGTATGCAGAGAGAACTGAATCAGGACAAGTAATGTAGTTTTTGTAATGCTATCAACTGTGGATAGAAAAATGGTGTTTTCAGAGAATTATTAGATACTGAATCAGGTTTGCCGTGTTTTGACGGTTTTGTGATTCTGGACAGAAAATTAACTATTTGACTATATGTTGCAGATCTGTTACTGTGTTAAGAATTTACAAAAAGTAAACACTTGTTTGCAATAAAAATGCATTGTAAGTAAAATGAAAAATCGAATAAGATTGATAAAATATATATTTAATGCTTAATTGTTGCAGGCTTTGCTTTGAAATGTAAACATTTTAACATTTCCAAGAATTGTCAGTCATAAACATGAACGTTTCACTTCAGCAGGTGTGAGGGGGTAAAGAGGAAGAAAGACAGACCCTGAATATAGACGCTCTCGAATAGATCTAATTCCGACATTCTGAAATTCCTTTGAGAGAACTTTAGTCAAAGTAAACACCCAAAGTTTGCATAAAAGCAAAGAAAGATTAATTATTGTATTTTTTTTTTCCAAATTCAAATGTTTCAAGCGGCTAGCCTATATTGGATGGTCTAAAAAATATAATTCAAGTAAATCTTAAGTAGTTGTAACGAAGACTACACATAAAGAGGATGTTGTTAAAATAAAAACATTTACATTTTACAGTATTGCAAATTGGTTAGAATTGTTTAGCTCATCAAGCTTAATTGTTAGATATTGTGTGTAGAGAAGTTTATTACAGTTTGGCTATTATTAAAATGTTTTCTTGAGCGCTCGTTTGCAGCTGCTATGTCTGCTTCGGTGATTCTCAATCCCCAGAGACACAATATTCAAATACAGACAACAACCGAAACTGAGAAAAACATCTCCATTGCAATAGTACCCTAAACTAAAGCTTTTCAGGAATATGTCATTGTGTGCAGTTTGAATCAGTCTTTATTTCAGAACAAATTAAATAACAGAAATACATTTTTAAAACATCTCTATCTTTTGGATTTTCCAATGATGTTAGAAAGCTTGACTTTAATCAGTTTGGTTTGGTTTCGTTAGATTTGCTCTAATCAGTTCTTCTGAAGTGTATGGGTAAATGACATGACGTGCATATTTTTGTGTCCAAGTTTGAAATAATATGATAAATGCATGGCATATATCATTTTATTCTATAAAACCAATTTAGTTGTAATTTTTTAGTACAATTAAATAATACTTATTATTTTGATTTATCTTAAATCTCCAATATGTCAAGTGGTGCAACTGTCTGAACAAATGAACTGTAATAAGGAGTCCACTGAAGGCAAGTTCCAGAAAAGTGCAGTTTTATTAATATCCAAAAACAAGATCAAACAAAGGCAAGGCATGGTATGAAACTCAAAACAAAAACATGAACATAGACATGGCGCTTACTACCAGCAGTTACACGAAAAAATACTTTTCAAACACACATGGCCAACATGAGGACTTAAATGCACACATGGACTAATGACTGAAAACTAAATGCTATGGAATCATTTCAGGTTTGAAACCTTTAGAAACACATTTTATAAATATCAGTAGATCTATTGTAAAACTGTTGAGATAATTGAAAAAATTTTGTCTAGTAATTAGTTTATTCTAAAATGTCAGGGTGACACAACTGCAAACATGGCTCTTTGATTGTGAATTGATGAGTTAATAACAGTAAACATGATAATACATCATCCAGAGATCCCGTGGCAGAGTGAAAAGATCTGTAGGTCTCTCTCCAATACTGGTAAAACTGCTGATTTCAAGTATGGGAAGGTTGGTACACTTTCCATGTCATGTGGTACAACTATATTTGATTGTACCACCTGACATAAAATATTTTTATTTAAACACTTTGAAATGTTAGTTAAAAACTGAACTTGTTTAAACTGTTCATGACTCAAACATACGCATTGCATAAGTTTTCGAAAAGTTTTTTGAAGCTTTGTCAATGACCCACATATATATTTGCCCTCTAAAGTCATAAAAAAAATATTTTTGGAAAAATTAAACAATTAAATTAAATGATTAAATTGATTTATGATTAAAACTTGATTAAGATTTTTTTTTTTTTTTTACTGGAGTAAAAGTATTTTTTAAAGAAAATATTTCAGTCTTTCTACTTTAAAATGTTATTGTGTGACTTTTCCTTTATTGCAATAACATAATTACATTTTGCAATTTCACTATTTTTTTTTCTGTGTATGTATGTATACGTAATACTCACACATTTTATGTTCTGAAGGACCTATCCCTGTAACATCTACTGAAACTGCAAGATAATGTCTCTGGCCACATAAAATATTTAAGTAATCTATATAACCTGAAATAATAAAGAATAGACACAATAAGACTTTATTGAAGAGTGTGAAGACTGATTACATATTTGTCAATGTCTTTAAAAATGTGTGAATAGAGGCAAATTATGTAGATTCAACATCAGAATAAGAAACCTTGGAGTCTTCAGAAGTTCTTTATAAAAATCATGAGTGCTTCATCTGGAAAAAAAAGTCAATAAGATCAATAATAAAAACCCATATTAGTTACATAATGCAATCCAAGTATCTGGTACATAAGTATCTTATGTATCGTCAAAAATGCTCCGCAGTCAGTTTAGTAATATTTGGGTTACCTTGAAAAGACTAAGTAGAGCGCTGTATGTCAGAGAAAAGAGGAATAGGAAGATGAAGGAAGTGGCAGTGGACCAGAGACTTCTGAACTCATCCTCCTCCAGAACATCTTTATTACAATTCAGAGCAAAGCCCTTCTCCGGCTCTGGTGGCTCCCCTGGAAAAGAAAACACATGTTCATGGGACATATGAACAGGATAAGCACACATGCAAACATAAATCACACATCCTGAATATTAAGTCTTCTAGTTACAGTATAATAAAGCTCATGTACTGCCAGCATGTACTCACATTAATTTGCACAGACTGCTAAATGTACACAGAAGTGACAAACATATAACATTGTCCTGTCTCTTACCCATTTCTGCATTTTACCATATACTTTATAAAAATAAACCAAACGCATACCTTATTGATTATAAATGTCAATATTTACTGGTGACTTTGGTGGTCAACATAAGTGACTTTACTATGTGCATTAATTAATTTCTCTAACATACTGATGAAACAGGACCAGAATGTAAAGCACAAAGTTTCTGATTTAAATGAGAGCTGGACTAAATCATGCAAAGTTGCAAACACAAAGATTTATTGCTTAAAATTGTAAAACAACAAACGTCAAACCAAAATTAAATATTTTTGATTTGAAACATGGAACATGAAACTGTTATATCAGAGGACATGGAAAGGCTACAGCGGTACAGTAAGCACAGGACAAAACATAAATGCGAAATTTTAACAAAAACATTACACTCATACAGGTCAGAATACATTTTTGCTCTTGAAAACTACTGTTTTTTAACACTATGATATTATGATGGCTATAATTTTGGTTCATATTTATTTTCATCCAATAATAAATTAAGCATAGTTTTGAGTGAAATTTGGCTTGTAAGTTTGACCCATGCAGTAAAGTGATACAAGCAGAACAATGACGGATGAACAAAAACATCAAAGACAGATAATCTGACAAGAGAGCAACAGGGAGCATAAGCACTGGAAAATGTACAAATGAACAGATACAAATTATCAATCATAATCATGGACACAAACTGGACATTCTGGCTGTATACTTTTGCTGGTTGAAACTTCTAATGGAGATCCTATATCGTCCATGTTGGCGTGTATGACTGCACAGGTGATGACGGTTTGGAGATCTTCATACTCTTGTTTTGACAAGGTTAAGATGCTGAGAACAGACGTGGAGCTCTTTTGATGAATAGGAGCACTGGTTCTGGCCTCTATGTAAGGCTCTTCACCAACTTTCCACATGATATAGACATCACCCATTTTATGGTTTGTGACCTCACACACCAGAGAGACATTGACATTGTTGTTGGCATCAGGTTTGTAAATGGTAACGTTGGGTTTCTGTCCATCTTAATTAAAGGAAGTGATAAAGGTTCATTAAACAAACAGAAGAATCAAACAACAATGAATAACAATAGTGCATCAAGACAGTCTAAGCTTTTTGACAGCAAAACCATTTCAAATGGGCTTGCAGTTTTTGCAAGAAAACTTGTTGAATTAAATTTTCATAAAAAAGAATTTAAAAAAAGTATAATTGCATCTATAAATGCACATACACCCACAAAGTCAATTATTTGGAAGTAACATTGACTTACCTCCTTCATCAAAATGGATCTCCTGCTTGATGTCTCTGTTATTATTTGTGTCACGGACGGTGCAGGTGACCATTTCTCCATCAAACCATGTATTTTTATCAATGGTGACTTTGTGGATTCTTATCCACAAGTTTGAAGTGTCGGTTGAGACATTTCCTGTTGTGATATTATCACTATTTACAGGTATATTCTTCACTGTGCATGACACTGAAGCTTCTTCCACTGTATTTTTTACATCTCCAGAAACAACAGCTTCCAAGACAACTTTATTATTGACAAATAGTTCTCTCTCAATGGGTGGCTTCAGCATCAGTGTGAATTTAGCTACAAGGGAGAAAGAAAGTATATGACTTTGAAAACTATTGTTTTCACATTGAAAACATCAAAGACAGATAATCTGACAAGAGAGCAACAGGGAGCAGAAGCACTGGAAAATGTACAAATGAACAGATACAAGTTATCAATCATAATCATGGTCACAAACTTGACATTCTTGCTGTTTACTTTTGCTGGTTGACACTTCTAATGGAGATCCTATATCGTCCATGTTGGCGTGTATGACTGCACAGGTGATGACGGTTTGGAGATCTTCATACTCTTGTTTTGACAAGGTTAAGATGCTGATAACAGACGTGGAGCTCTTTTGATGAATAGGAGCACTGGTTCTGGCCTCTATGTAAGGCTCTTCACCAACTTTCCACATGATATAGACATCACCCAGTTTATGGCTTGTGACCTCACACACCAGAGAGACACTGTCGCTGACATTGATGTTAGTATCAGGACTGTGAATGTTAACAGTGGGTTTCTGTCCATCTTAATTAAAGGAAGTGATTAAGGTTCATTAAACAAACAGAAGAATCAAACAATAATGAATAACAATAGTGCATCAAGAAAGTCTAAGCTTTTTGACAGCAAAACCATTTCAAATGGGCTTGCAGTTTTTGCAAGAAAACTTGTTGTATTTAATTTTCATAAAAAAGTATTTTAAAAAAGTATAATTGCATCTATAAATGCACATACACCCACAAAGTCAATTATTTGGAAGTAACATTGACTTACCTCCTTCATCAAAATGGATCTCCTGCTTGATGTCTCTGTTATTATTTGTGTCACGGACGGTGCAGGTGACCATTTCTCCATCAAACCATGTATTTTTATCAATGGTGACTTTGTGGATTCTTATCCACAACTTTGAAGTGTCAGTAAAGACATTTCCTGGTATGATATTATCACTATTTACAGGTATATTCTTCACTGTGCATGACACTGAAGCTTCTTGTACTGTATTTTGAACATCTCCAGAAACAACAGCTTCCAAGACAACTTTATTATTGACAAATAGTTCTCTCTCAATGGGTGGCTTCAGCATCAGTGTGAATTTAGCTACAAGGGAGAAAGGAAGTATATGACTTCGAAAACTACTGTTTGCACACTGAAAACTACTGTTTTTTTCACACTATGATATTATGTTGAATATAGTTTCTGTTCATATTTATTTTCACGCAATAACAAATTAAACATAGTTTTGAGTGAAATTTGGCTTGGAAGTTTGACCCATGCAGTAAAGTGATACAAGCAGAACAATGACCGATGAACAAAAACATCAAAGACAGATAATCTGACAAGTGGGCAACACTGAGCATAAGCACTAAAAATATACAAATGAACAGATACAAGTTATCAATTATCATGGTCACAAACTGGACATTCTTCCTGTTTACCTTTGCTGGTTGACACTTCTAATGGAGATCCTATATCGTCCATGTTGGCGTGTATGACTGCACAGGTGAAGACGGTTTGGAGATCTTCATACTCTTGTTTTGACAAGGTTAAGATGCTGATAACAGACGTGGAGCTCTTTTGATGAATAGGAGCACTGGTTCTGGCCTCTATGTAAGGCTCTTCACCAACTTTCCACATGATATAGACATCACCCAGTTTGTGGCTTGTGACCTCACACACCAGAGAGACACTGTCGCTGACATTGATGTTAGTATCAGGACTGTGAATGGTAACAGTGGGTTTCTGTCCATCTTAATTAAAGGAAGTGATAAAGGTGCATTAAACAAACAGAAAAAATCAAATAATAACAATAGTGCATCAAGACAGTCTAAGCTTTTTGACAGCGAAACCATATCAGAAAATGGGCTCGCAGTTTTTGCAAGAAAACTTGTTGTATTTAATTTTCATAAAAAAGAATTTTAAAAAAGTATAATTGCATCTATAAATGCACATACACCCACAAAGTCAATTATTTGGAAGTAACATTGACTTACCTCCTTCATCAAAATGGATCTCCTGCTTGATGTCTCTGGTATTATTTGTGTCACGGACGGTGCAGGTGACCATTTCTCCATCAAACCATGTATTTTTATCAATGGTGACTTTGTGGATTCTTATCCACAAGTTTGAAGTGTCAGTAAAGACATTTCCTGGTATGATATTATCACTATTTACAGGTATATTCTTCACTGTGCATGACACTGAAGCTTCTTGCACTGTATTTTGTACATCTCCAGAAACAACAGCTTCCAAGACAACTTTATTATTGACAAATAGTTCTCTCTCAATGGGTGGCTTCAGCATCAGTGTGATTTTAGCTACAAGGGAGAAAGAAAGTATATGACTTTGAAAACTATTGTTTTCACATTGAAAACTATTGTTTTTTCTGACTATGATATTATGATGACTAGTTTCAGTTCATATTTATTTTCATGCAATAACAAATTAAACATAGTTTTGAGTGAAATTTGGCTTGGACGTTTGACCCATGCAGTAAAGTGATACAAGCAGAACAATGACCGATGAACAAAAACATTAAAGACAGATTATCTGACAAGTGGGCAACACTGAGCATAAGCACTAAAATATACAAATGAACAGATACAAGTTATCAATTATCATGGTCAAACTGGATATTTCTTCCTGTTTACCTTTGCTGGTTGACACTTCTAATGGAGATCCTATATCGTCCATGTTGGCGTGTATGACTGCACAGGTGAAGACGGTTTGGAGATCTTCATACTCTTGTTTTGACAAGGTTAAGATGCTGATAACAGACGTGGAGCTCTTTTGATGAATAGGAGCACTGGTTCTGGCCTCTATGTAAGGCTCTTCACCAACTTTCCACATGATATAGACATCACCCAGTTTATGGCTTGTGACCTCACACACCAGAGAGACACTGTCGCTGACATTGATGTTAGTATCAGGACTGTGAATGGTAACAGTGGGTTTCTGTCCATCTTAATTAAAGGAAGTGATTAAGGTTCATTAAACAAACAGAAGAATCAAACAATAATGAATAACAATAGTGCATCAAGACAGTCTAAGCTTTTTGACAGCAAAACCATTTCAAATGGGCTTGCAGTTTTTGCAAGAAAACTTGTTGTATTTAATTTTCATAAAAAAGTATTTTATTCTATAAATGCACATACACCCACAAAGTCAATTATTTGGAAGTAACATTGACTTACCTCCTTCATCAAAATGGATCTCCTGCTTGATGTCTCTGTTATTATTTGTGTCATGGACGGTGCAGGTGACCATTTCTCCATCAAACCATGTATTTTTATCAATGGTGACTTTGTGGATTTTTATCCACAAGTTTGAAGTGTCGGTTGAGACATTTCCTGGTATGATATTATCACTATTTACAGGTGTATTCTTCACTGTGCATGACACTGAAGCTTCTTCCACTGTATTTTGTACATCTCCAGAAACAACAGCTTCCAAGACAACTTTATTATTGACAAATAGTTCTCTCTCAATGGGTGGCTTCAGCATCAGTGTGAATTTGGCTACAAGGGAGAAAGAAAGTATATGACTTCGAAAACTACTGTTTGCACATTTAAAACTATTGTGTGTTTTTTCACACTATGATATTATGATGACTATAGTTTCTGTTCATATTTATTTTCACGCAATAACAAATTAAGCATAGTTTTGAGTGAAATTTGGCTTGGACGTTTGACCCATGCAGTAAAGTGATACAAGCAGAACAATGATCGATGAACAAAAACATTAAAGACAGATAATCTGAGAAGTGGGCAACACTGAGCATAAGCACTAAAAATATACAAATGAACAGATACAAGTTATCAATTATAATCATGGTCACAGACTCGACATTCTGGCTGTTTACCTTTGCTGGTTGAAACTTCTAATGGAGATCCTATATCGTCCATGTTGGCGTGTATGACTGCACAGGTGAAGACGGTTTGGAGATCTTCATACTCTTGTTTTGACAAGGTTAAGATGCTGATAACAGACGTGGAGCTCTTTTGATGAATAGGAGCACTGGTTCTGGCCTCTATGTAAGGCTCTTCACCAACTTTCCACATGATATAGACATCACCCAGTTTATGGCTTGTGACCTCACACACCAGAGAGACACTGTCGCTGACATTGATGTTAGTATCAGGACTGTGAATGGTAACAGTGGGTTTCTGTCCATCTTAATTAAAGGAAGTGATAAAGGTGCATTAAACAAACAGAAAAAATCAAATAATAACAATAGTGCATCAAGACAGTCTAAGCTTTTTGACAGCGAAACCATATCAAAAAATGGGCTCGCAGTTTTTGCAAGAAAAATTGTTGTATTTAATTTTCATAAAAAAGAATAAAAAAAAAAGTATAATTGCATCTATAAATGCACATACACCCACAAAGTCAATTATTTGGAAGTAACATTGACTTACCTCCTTCATCAAAATGGATCTCCTGCTTGATGTCTATGTTATTATTTGTGTCACGGACGGTGCAGGTGACCATTTCTCCATCAAACCATGAATTTTTATCAATGGTGACTTTGTGGATTCTTATCCACAAGTTTGAAGTGTCGGTTGAGACATTTCCTGTTGTGATATTATCACTATTTACAGGTGTATTCTTCACTGTGCATGACACTGAAGCTTCTTGCACTGTATTTTTTACATCTCCAGAAACAACAGCTTCCAAGACAACTTTATTATTGACAAATAGTTCTCTCTCAATGGGTGGCTTCAGCATCAGTGTGAATTTAGCTACAAGGGAGAAAGAAAGTATATGACTTTGAAAACTATTGTTTTCACATTGAAAACATCAAAGACAGATAATCACAAGAGAGCAACAGGGAGCAGAAGCACTGGAAAATGTACAAATGAACAGATACAAGTTATCAATCATAATCATGGACACAAACTTGACATTCTGGCTGTTTACCTTTGCTGGTTGACACTTCTAATGGAGATCCTATATCGTCCATGTTGGCGTGTATGACTGCACAGGTGAAGACGGTTTGGAGATCTTCATACTCTTGTTTTGACAAGGTTAAGATGCTGATAACAGACGTGGAGCTCTTTTGATGAATAGGAGCACTGGTTCTGGCCTCTATGTAAGGCTCTTCACCAACTTTCCACATGATATAGACATCACCCAGTTTATGGCTTGTGACCTCACACACCAGAGAGACACTGTCGCTGACTTTGATGTTAGTATCAGGACTGTGAATGGTAACAGTGGGTTTCTGTCCATCTTAATTAAAGGAAGTGATTAAGGTTCATTAAACAAACAGAAGAATCAAACAATAATGAATAACAATAGTGCATCAAGAAAGTCTAAGCTTTTTGACAGCAAAACCATTTCAAATGGGCTTGCAGTTTTTTGCAAGAAAACTTGTTGTATTTAATTTTCATAAAAAAGTATTTTAAAAAAGTATAATTGCATCTATAAATGCACATACACCCACAAAGTCAATTATTTGGAAGTAACATTGACTTACCTCCTTCATCAAAATGGATCTCCTGCTTGATGTCTCTGTTATTATTTGTGTCACGGACGGTGCAGGTGACCATTTCTCCATCAAACCATGTATTTTTATCAATGGTGACTTTGTGGATTTTTATCCACAAGTTTGAAGTGTCGGTTAAGACATTTCCTGGTATGATATTATCACTATTTACAGGTATATTCTTCACTGTGCATGACACTGAAGCTTCTTGCACTGTATTTTGTACATCTCCAGAAACAACAGCTTCCAAGACAACTTTATTATTGACAAATAGTTCTCTCTCAATGGGTGGCTTCAGCATCAGTGTGAATTTAGCTACAAGGGAGAAAGAAAGTATAACTTTGAAAACTATTGTTTTTTCACACTATGATATTATAATGACTAGTTTCTGTTCATATTTATTTTCATGCAATAATAAATTAAGCATAGTTTTGAATTTAATTTGGCTTGGACGTTTGAACCATGCAGTAAAGTGATACAAGCAGAACAATGACCGATGAACAAAAACATCAAAGACAGATAATCTGACAAGAGAGCAACAGGGATCAAAAGCACTAGAAAATGTAAATGAACAGATACAAGTTATCAATGATAATCATGGTCACAAACTGGACATTTCTTCCTGTTTACCTTTGCTGGTTGAAACTTCTAATGGAGATCCTATATCGTCCATGTTGGCGTGTATGACTGCACAGGTGAAGACGGTTTGGAGATCTTCATACTCTTGTTTTGACAAGGTTAAGATGCTGAGAACAGACGTGGAGCTCTTTTGATGAATAGGAGCACTGGTTCTGGCCTCTATGTAAGGCTCTTCACCAACTTTCCACATGATATAGACATCACCCAGTTTATGGCTTGTGACCTCACACACCAGAGAGACACTGTCGCTGACATTGATGTTAGTATCAGGACTGTGAATGGTAACAGTGGGTTTCTGTCCATCTTAATTAAAGAAAGTGATTAAGGTTCATTAAACAAACAGAAGAATCAAACAACAATGAATAGCAAAAGTGCATCAAGACAGTCTAAGCTTTTTGACAGCAAAACCATTTCAAATGGGCTTGCAGTTTATGCAAGAAAACTTGTTGTATTTAATTTTCATAAAAAAAATATATTTTAAAAAAGTATAATTGCATCTATAAATGCACATACACCCACAAAGTCAATTATTTGGAAGTAACATTGACTTACCTCCTTTATCAAAATGTATCTCCTGCTTGATGTCTCTGTTATTATTTGTGTCACGGACGGTGCAGGTGACCATTTCTCCATCAAACCATGTATTTTTATCAATGGTGACATTGTGGATTCTTATCCACAAGTTTGAAGTGTCAGTAAAGACATTTCCTGGTATGATATTATCACTATTTACAGGTATATTCTTCACTGTGCATGACACTAAAGCGTCTTGCACTGTATTTTTTACATCTCCAGAAACAACAGCTTCCAAGACAACTTTATTATTGACAAATAGTTCTCTCTCAATGGGTGGCTTCAGCATCAGTGTGATTTTAGCTACAAGGGAGAAAGAAAGTATATGACTTTGAAAACTATTGTTTTCACATTGAAAACTATTGTTTTTTCTGACTATGATATTATGATGACTAGTTTCAGTTCATATTTATTTTCATGCAATAACAAATTAAACATAGTTTTGAGTGAAATTTGGCTTGGACGTTTGACCCATGCAGTAAAGTGATACAAGCAGAACAATGACCGATGAACAAAAACATTAAAGACAGATTATCTGACAAGTGGGCAACACTGAGCATAAGCACTAAAAATATACAAATGAACAGATACAAGTTATCAATTATCATGGTCAAACTGGACATTTCTTCCTGTTTACCTTTGCTTGTTGAAACTTCTAATGGAGATCCTATATCGTCCATGTTGGCGTGTATGACTGCACAGGTGAAGACGGTTTGGAGATCTTCATACTCTTGTTTTGACAAGGTTAAGATGCTGATAACAGACGTGGAGCTCTTTTGATGAATAGGAGCACTGGTTCTGGTGTCTATGGAAGGCTCTTCACCAACTTTCCACATGATATAGACATCACCCAGTTTGTGGCTTGTGACCTCACACACCAGAGAGACACTGTCGCTGACATTGATGTTAGTATCAGGACTGTGAATGGTAACAGTGGGTTTCTGTCCATCTTAATTAAAGGAAGTGATAAAGGTGCATTAAACAAACAGAAAAAATCAAATAATAACAATAGTGCATCAAGACAGTCTAAGCTTTTTGACAGCGAAACCATATCAGAAAATGGGCTCGCAGTTTTTGCAAGAAAACTTGTTGTATTTAATTTTCATAAAAAAGAATTTTAAAAAAGTATAATTGCATCTATAAATGCACATACACCCACAAAGTCAATTATTTGGAAGTAACATTGACTTACCTCCTTCATCAAAATGGATCTCCTGCTTGATGTCTCTGTTATTATTTGTGTCACGGACGGTGCAGGTGACCATTTCTCCATCAAACCATGTATTTTTATCAATGGTGACTTTGTGGATTTTTATCCACAAGTTTGAAGTGTCGGTTGAGACATTTCCTGGTATGATATTATCACTATTTACAGGTATATTCTTCACTGTGCATGACACTGAAGCTTCTTCCACTGTATTTTGTACATCTCCAGAAACAACAGCTTCCAAGACAACTTTATTATTGACAAATAGTTCTCTCTCAATGGGTGGCTTCAGCATCAGTGTGAATTTAGCTACAAGGGAGAAAGAAAGTATATGACTTTGAAAACTATTGTTTTCACATTGAAAACTATTGTTTTTTCTGACTATGATATTATGATGACTAGTTTCAGTTCATATTTATTTTCATGCAATAACAAATTAAACATAGTTTTGAGTGAAATTTGGCTTGGACGTTTGACCCATGCAGTAAAGTGATACAAGCAGAACAATGATCGATGAACAAAAACATTAAAGACAGATTATCTGACAAGTGGGCAACACTGAGCATAAGCACTAAAATATACAAATGAACAGATACAAGTTATCAATTATCATGGTCAAACTGGACATTTCTTCCTGTTTACCTTTGCTTGTTGAAACTTCTAATGGAGATCCTATATCGTCCATGTTGGCGTGTATGACTGCACAGGTGAAGACGGTTTGGAGATCTTCATACTCTTGTTTTGACAAGGTTAAGATGCTGAGAACAGACGTGGAGCTCTTTTGATGAATAGGAGCACTCGTTCTGGCCTCTATGTAAGGCTCTTCACCAACTTTCCACATGATATAGACATCACCCAGTTTGTGGCTTGTGACCTCACACACCAGATAGACACTGTCGCTGACATTGATGTTAGTTTCAGGACTGTGAATGGTAACAGTGGGTTTCTGTCCATCTTAATTAAAGGAAGTGATAAAGGTTCATTAAACAAACAGAAGAATCAAACAACAATGAATAACAATAGTGCATCATGACAGTCTAAGCTTTTTGACAGCAAAACCATTTCAAATGGGCTTACAGTTTTTGCAAGAAAAATTGTTGAATTAAATTTTCACAAAAAAGTATTTTAAAAAAGTATAATTGCATCTATAAATGCACACACACCCACAAAGTCAATTATTTGGAAGTAACATTGACTTACCTCCTTCATCAAAATGGATCTCCTGCTTGATGTCTCTGTTATTATTTGTGTCACGGATGGTGCAGGTGACCATTTCTCCATCAAACCATGAATTTTTATCAATGGTGACTTTGTGGATTCTTATCCACAAGTTTGAAGTGTCGGTTGAGACATTTCCTGGTATGATATTATCACTATTTACAGGTGTATTCTTCACTGTGCATGACACTGAAGCTTCTTGCACTGTATTTTGAACATCTCCAGAAACAACAGCTTCCAAGACAACTTTATTATTGACAAATAGTTCTCTCTCAATGGGTGGCTTCAGCATCAGTGTGAATTTAGCTACAATGGAGAAAGAAAGTATATGACTTTGAAAACTACTGTTTTTTCTCACTATGATATTATAATGACTAGTTTCTGTTCATATTTATTTTCATGCAATAATAAATTAAGCATAGTTTTGAATTAAATTTGGCCTGGAAGTTTGACCCATGCAGTAAAGTGATACAAGCAGAACAATGATCGATGAACAAAAACATCAAAGACAGATAATCTGACAAGTGAACAACAGGGATCAAAAGCACTAGAAAATACAAATGAACAGATAAAAGTTATCAATGATAATAATGGTCACAAATTGGACATTTCTTCCTTTTTACCTTTGCTGGTTGACACTTCTAATGGAGATCCTATATCATCCATGTTGGCGTGTATGACTGCACAGGTGAAGACGGTTTGGAGATCTTCATACTCTTGTTTTGACAAGGTTAAGATGCTGAGAACAGACGTGGAGCTCTTTTGATGAATAGGAGCACTGGTTCTGGCCTCTATGTAAGGCCCTTCGCCAACTTTCCACATGATATAGACATCACCCAGTTTATGGCTTGTGACCTCACACACCAGATAGACACTGTCACTGACATTGATGTTAGTATCAGGACTGTGAATGGTAACAGTGGGTTTCTGTCCATCTTAATTAAAGGAAGTGATAAAGGTTCATTAAACAAACAGAAGAATCAAACAACAATGAATAATAATAGTGCATCAAGTCTAAGCTTTTTGACAGCAAAACCATTTCAAATGGGCTTACAGTTTTTGCAAGAAAAATTGTTTAATTAAATTTTCACAAAAAAGTATTTAAAAAAAGTATAATTGCATCTATAAATGCACATACACCCACAAAGTCAATTATTTGGAAGTAACATTGACTTACCTCCTTTATCAAAATGTATCTCCTGCTTGATGTCTCTGTTATTATTTGTGTCACGGACGGTGCAGGTGACATTTTCTCCATCAAACCATGAATTTTTATCAATGGTGACTTTGTGGATTCTTATCCACAACTTTGAAGTATCGGTTGAGACATTTCCTGGTATGATATTATCACTATTTACAGGTGTATTCTTCACTGTGCATGACACTGAAGCTTCTTGCACTGTATTTTGAACATCTCCAGAAACAACAGCTTCCAAGACAACTTTATTATTGACAAATAGTTCTCTCTCAATGGGTGGCTTCAGCATCAGTGTGAATTTAGCTACAAGGGAGAAAGAAAGTATATGACTTTGAAAACTATTGTTTTCACATTGAAAACTATTGTTTTTTCTCACTATGATATTATGATGACTAGTTTCAGTTCATATTTATTTTCAACACATTCTCACCCCAAGGCGTCACCTTTGACCATGCTTCAATATTTGACGTTTTAGGCGCCCTTTAGCGTCACTTACATGACGCGATCCTATGGCGTCATCTAACTGACGCTAAAGGAAAGCGTCAGTTAGAGGACGCGGTTAGGTTTAGGTCTGGGGTGGGGGTAGGGTACACGCGATCCTAGGGCGTCATCTAACTGATGCTAAAGGGCGCCTAAAGCGTCAGATATTGAAGCATGGTCAAATGCTTCCCAAGGCGTCAGTTACGTGACGCCTTGGGGGTGAGAATGGGCTGTTAATTTCATGCAATAATAAATTAAGCATAGTTTTGAGTGAAATTTGGCTTGGACGTTTGACCCATGCAGTAAAGTGATACAAGCAGAACAATGACCGATGAACAAAAACATCAAAGACAGATAATCTGAGAAGTGGGCAACACTGAGCATAAGCACTAAAAATATACAAATGAACAGATACAAGTTATCAATTATAATCATGGTCACAAACTGGACATTCTGGCTGTTTACCTTTGCTGGTTGACACTTCTAATGGAGATCCTATATCGTCCATGTTGGCGTGTATGACTGCACAGGTGAAGACGGTTTGGAGATCTTCATACTCTTGTTTTGACAAGGTTAGGATGCTGAGAACAGACGTGGAGCTCTTCTGATGAATAGGAGCACTGGTTCTGGCCTCTATGTAAGGCCCTTCACCAACTTTCCACATGATATAGACATCACCCAGTTTGTGGCTTGTGACCTCACACACCAGAGAGACACTGTCGCTGACATTGATGTTAGTTTCAGGACTGTGAATGGTAACAGTGGGTTTCTGTCCATCTTAATTAAAGGAAGTGATAAAGGTTCATTAAACAAACAGAAGAATCAAACAATAATGAATAGCAATAGTGCATCAAGACAGTCTAAGCTTTTTGACAGCAAAACCATTTGAAATGGGCTTACAGTTTTTGCAAGAAAACTTGTTGTATTTAATTTTCATAAAAAAATATTTTAAAAAAGTATAATTGCATCTATAAATGCAAATACACCCACAAAGTCAATTATTTGGAAGTAACATTGACTTACCTCCTTCATCAAAATGGATCTCCTGCTTGATGTCTCTGTTATTATTTGTGTCACGGACGGTGCAGGTGACCATTTCTCCATCAAACCATGAATTTTTATCAATGGTGACTTTGTGGATTCTTATCCACAAGTTTGAAGTGCCAGTAAAGACATTTCCTGGTATGATATTATCACTATTTACAGGTATATTCTTCACTGTGCATGACACTGAAGCTTCTTGCACTGTATTTTGTACATCTCCAGAAACAACAGCTTCCAAGACAACTTTATTATTGACAAATAGTTCTCTCTCAATGGGTGGCTTCAGCATCAGTGTGAATTTAGCTACAAGGGAGAAAGAAAGTATGACTTTGAAAACTATTGTTTTCACATTGAAAACTATTGTGTTTTTTTTCACACTATGATATTATGTTGACTAGTTTCTGTTCATATTTATTTTCATGCAATAACAAATTAAACATAGTTTTGAGTGAAATTTGGCTTGGAAGTTTGACCCATGCAGTAAAGTGATACAAGCAGAACAATGACCGATGAACAAAAATATCAAATACATATAATCTGACAAGTGAACAACAGGGAGCAAAAGCACTGGAAAATGTACAAATTAACAGATACAAGTTATCAATTATCATGGTCACAAACTGGACATTCTGGCTGTTTACCTTTGCTGGTTGACACTTCTAATGGAGATCCTATATCATCCATGTTGGCGTGTATGACTGCACAGGTGAAGACGGTTTGGAGATCTTCATACTCTTGTTTTGACAAGGTTAGGATGCTGATAACAGACGTGGAGATCTTTTGATGAATAGGAGCACTGGTTCTGGCCTCTATGTAAGGCCCTTCACCAACTTTCCACATAATATAGACATCACCCAGTTTATGGCTTGTGACCTCACACACCAGAGAGACACTGTCGCTGACATTGATGTTAGTATCAGGTTTGTAAATGGTAACAGTGGGTTTCTGTCCATCTTAATTAAAGGAAGTGATAAAGGTTCATTAAACAAACAGAAGAATCAAACAATAATGAATAACAATAGTGCATCAAGACAGTCTAAGCTTTTTGACAGCAAAACCATTTCAAATGGGCTTACAGTTTTTGCAAGAAAACTTGTTGAATTTAATTTTCATAAAAAAAGTATTTTTAAAGAGTATAATTGCATCTATAAATGCACACACACCCACAAAGTCAATTATTTCTAAGTAAGAGTTACTTACCTCCTTCATCAAAATGTATCTCCTGCTTGATGTCTCTGTTATTATTTGTGTCACGGACGGTGCAGGTGACCATTTCTCCATCAAACCATGAATTTTTATCAATGGTGACTTTGTGGATTCTTATCCACAACTTTGAAGTATCGGTTGAGACATTTCCTGGTATGATATTATCACTATTTACAGGTATATTCTTCACTGTGCATGACACTGAAGCTTCTTGCACTGTATTTTGTACATCTCCAGAAACAACAGCTTCCAAGACAACTTTATTATTGACAAATAGTTCTCTCTCAATGGGTGGCTTCAGCATCAGTGTGAATTTAGCTACAAGGGAGAAAGAAAGTATGACTTTGAAAACGTCTAAGGTTACGACTGTAACCTATGTTCCCTGAGAACAGGGAACGAGACAATACGTCGAATGACGCAATGGGGAACGCCTCAGGCGTGACAGGTGTCTGAAATCAAATATCAACTCATAGTAATCAGGTTGACCGGCGACAGCCCGTGCATCATCAGCTTGAATGATGAGCGCGTCAATCTGGATGTATAAGAAGGGCGCCTTGAAACCGTGACAACATCCTATCGTCTGAAGGGACTGTTGCAGGCAGGCCCCGAGGCATGGCAACGAGACGTATTGTCTCGTTCCCTGTTCTCAGGGAACATAGGTTACAGTCGTAACCTTAGACTTTCCCTTTCGAAGGGAACTCAACAATACGTCGAATGACGCAATGGGGAACGAAATACCCACTCCGCCATGCTGAGGGGAGTGCATGCCGAAAGGCAGTGACAACTGTCAGAACCAGTAATTCCAAGGAACACTGAAACCACTCACCCTATGTTACATCGGGCTGTCAGTGACAGCACTCCCTACCGGTCATAGCCCAAGCTAATGAACCAAGAAAAACCAGAACGTAATAACGTGGGTAAATCAGGGCCAGCTCAAAGGCTTTAGGACCACAACTTCAAAATAGAAGGGGTCCCTTCTAGGGAGTGTGGCTAGGGGGCCAAAGGGACCCCCAGCCAGTCACTATTCAGGAGAACACTCCTCCTGAAATGCCCCCAGGCTGGCCTAGTGATCTGTACTAAGACACACAGTCTGGCCATAGCCTGTCCGTCCAAGACAGAGCCTCTGGAAATTGCCTAGAAAAGGCATCCAAAAACTGAAGGCCCGCGAAGCTGGCAGAAACCATCGAGTTTCGGATCACAGAGACGGGATCCTCCGGAGAGTGTGACTCAACCTCAAACCAATGGGAATCGTACACTCAATCCACAAGTTTTCACCCAGTGCTTGCTTTTGAGCACTGAGGAAGTAAGAGAGGGATCAAAATCAGGAAGGTCAAAGAGACCTAAGACCTGATGACCCCATGTGTGGGGAGCTCCGATACATGAGGGCTCATGTCAGGAAGGCCGTACGTTGTGCGGCCTGAAACCCAACGACCACAGCATGTGGAAGCTCATCCTTCAGGAAAGCCAGAGGCTAGAACCTGACAGACCCACAATGTGGGGCTACCTTCGAAAAAGGTCTAATGAGACCTAAAACCACCAGTTGTGGGAGATAGCTTGACCAAGGGAAGTGCCTGTCGTAATGTATTGCGACAAAGACACATCTAGAGTGGGACCCAAAGTGAAGAACCGGAGTCTGAACCACATAAGAAGGGACCGAAGCATACTGCGCGTGACCCTCACCATAAGAAATGGATTTTAAAAAGTGCACAAGACATCTCGTCGGGTGACTTACCACAATAATAGGTGAAGTATGGGTTTGTGTACTTCACTCTGAATTCAGGAAGGCCTGGTGAGGCCTGTAACCCAGCAACCACAATATGTGGGAGCTCATAACCAGGAAGGCCTGTTGAGGCCTGTAACCTGGCGACCACAGTGTGTGGGAGCTCATGACCAGGAAGGCCTGGTAAGGCCTGTAACCTGGCGACCACATTGGGTGGGAGCTCGTACTCAGGAAGGTCAGTGAGACCCAGCCTGGTGACCACAACCTGTGGGAGCTTACTCCACCAAATGGAAGCTACTTCTTCCAGAAGTTAGCCAGAGAAGGGCGTCCCTGTAGCCAGTGACAGGACGCCACTTAAAGTGGGACCCAAGGGAAGACCGGGGTCTGAGCCACATAAGAAGGGACCGAAGCATACCACGCGTGACCCTTACCATACAAAATGGATTTTAGAAAGTACACAAGACATCCCGTCATGTGATTTACCACAATAATAGGTGAAGTAGGGGTTAGTGTACTTCACTCTGAATTCAGGAAGGCCGAACTTGAGGCCTGTTATCTGGCAGCCACAACAAGTGGGAACCCATAATCAGGAAGGCCTGACAAGGCCTAACACCCGATAGTCCCAATGCATGGGGAGCTCACATTCAGGAAGGCCGCTGAGGCCTGCAGCCTGACATGTGAAGACTCACCACTACAACTTAGCGACCACGAAAAGTGGGGGTTTCACATTCAGGAAGGCCTGGTGAAGCCTGCAACCTGACATGTGACAACTCATAACCAGGAAGGCCAATGAAGCCTGAAGCCTGGTGACCACAGAGTGGGAGCAAAGTGCTCAGGAAAGGTGGTGAGGCTGTATTCTGGCTACCGCAGCATGTGGGAGCCCACATTCAGGAAGGCTGGGTGAGGCCTGTAAACTGACTACCACAGTATGTGGGAACTCATAACCAGGAAGGCCTGGTGAGGCCTGTAACCTGGCGACCACAATGTGTGGGAGCTCATAACCAGGAAGGCCTGGTGAGGCCTTTAACCTGGCGACCACAGTATGTGGGAGCTCATTACCAGGAAGGCCTGGTGAGGCCTGTAACCTGGCGACCACAATGTGTGGGAGCTCATAACCAGGAAGGCCTGGTGAGGCCTGTGACCTGGCGACCACAATGTGTGGGAGCTCATAACCAGGAAGGCCTGGTGAGGCCTTTAACCTGGCGACCACAGTATGTGAGAGCTCGTATCCTGGTGACCACAGTATGTGGGAGCTCATAACCAGGAAGGCCTGGTGAAGCCTGTAACCCAGCGACCACAGCATGTGGGAGCTCATAACCAGGAAGGCCTGGTGAGGCCTGTAACCTGGCGACCACAATAAGTGGGAGCTCATAACCAGGAAGGCCTGGTGAGGCCTGTAACCTGGCGACCACAGTATGTGGGAGCTCATAACCAGGAAGGCCTGGTGAGGCCTGTAACCTGGCGACCACAATGTGTGGGAGCTCATAACCAGGAAGGCCTGGTGAGGCCTGTAACCCGGCAACCACAGTATGTGGGAGCTCCCACGGATGTCTCTCCGTGGCCACCATAGCACTGACGGAACAGCAGATTGCTTGGTGGCCCGGAGTCCCGCAGCAGATCAGTCTGGTAGGCCTGAGGACCACAAGGGCGTGCAGAACCGCACCTGCCTGACCTGCTGCCGTGTACGCTCTGTCATTCAAGCATGAAGATGTCTTGAGCAGCTTGGATGACAGGGTTAGAGCTCTTAGTGAAGAGGACCAACCAGAGACGAGATAGTTAGCCAACGTCTCGTCCACTGGCGGCATCGACACATATCCGTTCTCCACGGCTCCCTCCACAGCAGCGAAACTAGCCCGCTGATGCAGATAGAGACGTGAGGAGAACGGATTCTTCCATACCCTCGCAATCCCAGCGTGGAGATCAGAAAGGAATGGAAGGCTCATCCGGGCTGGTGGCTTATGGGTGGGGAGGAACCAGCCATCCAAAATACCATGAGCGGGTTCCTCCCAGACGCGCCTCCACTGCAACTGCAATCTGTCTGTGGCGCGCCCCATAATGTCAACCAGCTCAGCGTACACTGGGCAGGAGGGCTGAAATGGTTCGGTCTCAACCAAACTGACATCCTTTTCTATATATATATATATATATATATATATATATATATATTACAGCCAACTCCTGCCCTGCCCGAAGAGAACAGTTACAGATTCACCAAAGAGAGAGAGCGCTCATTTTCTCTCTTCTTAGATGTTCAACGTTAATCTGTAACTCACCCTCGTCAGCTGGTAGATCATCCAAGAGGTTAACGCCCCTCTCCCGATAATCTGCCAGCTCCATCTGAAAGCTCCACGAGCTCAACCGCCACTGAGCCTCAGCCGGAGCGGGAACCGGAACCGCGGGGTTCAGATGCCGCGCCCACTTCCCTCGAGAAGTGGGTCAGACGAGAGCAGAGAGTTCTGAAAGGAAAACTCTCAGTTCGCGCAAAAAACTCCCTCGAGAGCTTCCCGCGAGTGCTCTTCTCTCAGGCAGAACACGCACAGATCGTGTGAATCCTCCAGTGTCAAATATCTGGACACAAGTCGGCACACTCGCGCAAAGTGTTTCTCCACGTCTCTGCGCGCTTAATCGTTGATACTATCACACAGACAAACAGTCCCTGAAGACGAAAAAGATGTTGTCACGGTTTCAAGGCGCCCTTCTTATACATCCAGATTGACGCGCTCATCATTCAAGCTGATGATGCACGGGCTGTCGCCGGTCAACCTGATTACTGTGAGTTGATATTTGATTTCAGACACCTGTCACGCCTGAGGCGTTCCCCATTGCGTCATTCGACGTATTGTTGAGTTCCCTTCGAAAGGGAACTATTGTTTTCACATTGAAAATCTGACAAGTTAACAACAGGGAGCAAAAGTACTGGAAAATGTAAAAATGGACAAATTCAAGTTATCAATTATAATCATGGTCACAAACTGGACATTCTGGCTGTTTACCTTTGCTGGTTGAAACTTCTAATGGAGATCCTATGGCGTCCATGTTGGCGTGTATGACTGCACAGGTGAAGACGGTTTGGAGATCTTCATACTCTTGTTTTGACAAGGTTAAGATGCTGAGAACAGACGTGGAGCTCTTTTGATGAATAGGAGCACTGGTTCTGGCCTCTATGTAAGGCTCTTCACCAACTTTCCACATGATATAGACATCACCCAGTTTGTGGCTTGTGACCTCACACACCAGAGAGACACTGTCGCTGACATTGATGTTAGTTTCAGGACTGTGAATGGTAACAGTGGGTTTCTGTCCATCTTAATTAAAGGAAGTGATAAAGGTTCATTAAACAAACAGAAGAATCAGACTGTAATGAATAACAATAGTGCATCAAGACAGTCTAAGCTTTTTGACAGCAAAACCATTTCAAATGAGCTTGCAGTTGAATTTAATTTTCATAAAAAAGTATTTTTAAAAAGTATAATTGCATCTATAAATGCACATACACCCACAAAGTGAATTATTTGGAAGTAACATTGACTTACCTCCTTCATCAAAATGTATCTCCTGCTTGATGTCTCTGTTATTATTTGTGTCACGGACGGTGCAGGTGACCATTTCTCCATCAAACCATGTATTTTTATCAATGGTGACTTTGTGGATTCTTATCCACAACTTTGAAGTATCGGTTGAGACATTTCCTGGTATGATATTATCACTATTTACAGGTGTATTCTTCACTGTGCATGACACTGAAGCTTCTTGCACTGTATTTTGAACATCTCCAGAAACAACAGCTTCCAAGACAACTTTATTATTGACAAATAGTTCTCTCTCAATGGGTGGCTTCAGCATCAGTGTGAATTTAGCTACAAGGGAGAAAGAAAGTATGACTTTGAAAACTATTGTTTTCACATTGAAAACTATTGTGTTTTTTTTCACACTATGATATTATGTTGACTAGCTTCTGTTCATATTTATTTTCATGCAATAACAGATTACACATAGTTTTGAGTGAAATTTGGCTTGGAAGTTTGACCCATGCAGTAAAGTGATAGAAGCAGAACAATGACGGATGAACAAAAATATCAAATACATATAATCTGACAAGTGAACAACAGGGAGCAAAAGCACTGGAAAATGTACAAATGAACAGATACAAGTTATCAATTATCATGGTCGCAAACTGGACATTCTGGCTGTTTACCTTTGCTGATTGAAACTTCTAATGGAGATCCTATATCGTCCATGTTGGCATGTATGACTGCACAGGTGAAGACGGTTTGGAGATCTTCATACTCTTGTTTTGACAAGGTTAAGATGCTGATAACAGACGTGGAGCTCTTTTGATGAATAGGAGCACTGGTTCTGGTGTCTATGGAAGGCTTTTCGCCCACTTTCCACATGATATAGACATCACCCAGTTTATGGCTTGTGACCTCACACACCAGATAGACACTGTCGCTGACATTGATGTTAGTTTCAGGACTGTGAATGGTAACAGTGGGTTTCTGTCCATCTTAATTAAAGGAAGTGATAAAGGTTCATTAAACAAACAGAAGAATCAAACAACAATGAATAACAATAGTGCATCAAGACAAGCTTTTTGACAGCAAAACCATTTCAAATGGGCTTGCAGTTTTTGCAAGAAAACTTGTTGAATTTAATTTTCACAAAAAAGTATTTAAAAAAAGTATAATTGCATCTATAAATGCACATACACCCACAAAGTCAATTATTTGGAAGTAACATTGACTTACCTCCTTCATCAAAATGTATCTCCTGCTTGATGTCTCTGTTATTATTTGTGTCACGGACGGTGCAGGTGACATTTTCTCCATCAAACCATGAATTTTTATCAATGGTGACTTTGTGGATTCTTATCCACAAGTTTGGAGTGTCGGTTGAGACATTTCCTGTTGTGATATTATCACTATTTACAGGTATATTCTTCACTGTGCATGACACTGAAGCTTCTTCCACTGTATTTTGAACATCTCCAGAAACAACAGCTTCCAAGACAACTTTATTATTGACAAATAGTTCTCTCTCAATGGGTGGCTTCAGCATCAGTGTCAATTTAGCTATAAGGGAGAAAGAAAGTATATGACTTCGAAAACTATTGTTTCTGTTCATCTTAATTAAAGGAAGGGATAAAGGTTCATTAAAAAACAGAAGTTTTAAACTATGAATAACAACAGTGCATCAAGACAGACTAAGCTTTTTGACAGCGAAACCATTTCAAATTGGTATTTGTTGTGTTTAATTTTCATAAAAAAGTATTTTTAAAAAGTATAATTGCATCTATAAATGCACATACACCCACAAAGTCAATTATTTGGAAGTAACATTGACTTACCTCCTTCATCAAAATGGATCTCCTGCTTGATGTCTCTGTTATTATTTGTGTCACGGACGGTGCAGGTGACCATTTCTCCATCAAACCATGAATTTTTATCAATGGTGACATTGTGGATTCTTATCCACAAGTTTGAAGTGTCAGTAAAGACATTTCCTGTTGTGATATTATCACTATTTACAGGTATATTCTTCACTGTGCATGACACTGAAGCTTCTTCCACTGTATTTTGTACATCTCCAGAAACAACAGCTTCCAAGACAACTTTATTATTGACAAATAGTTCTCTCTCAATGGGTGGCTTCAGCATCAGTGTGAATTTAGCTACAAGGGAGAAAGAAAGTATGACTTTGAAAACTATTGTTTTCACATTGAAAACTATTGTGTTTTTTTTCACACTATGATATTATGTTGACTAGTTTCTGTTCATATTTATTTTCATGCAATAACAAATTAAACATAGTTTTGAGTGAAATTTGGCTTGGAAGTTTGACCCATGCAGTAAAGTGATACAAGCAGAACAATGACCGATGAACAAAAATATCAAATACAGATAATCTGACAAGTGAACAACAGGGAGCAAAAGCCAACGCATTCTCACCCCAAGGCGTCACCTTTGACCATGCTTCAATATTTGACGTTTTAGGCGCCCTTTAGCGTCACTTACATGACGCGATCCTACGGCGTCACCTAACTGACGCTAAAGGAAAGCGTCTGTTAGAGGACGCGGTTAGGTTTAGGTGTGGGGTGGGGGTAGGGTACACGCGATCCTAGGGCGTCATCTAACTGACGCTAAAGGTCGCCTAAAGCGTCAGATATTGAAGCATGTCCAAATGCTTCCCAAGGCGTCAGTTAGGTGACGCCTTGGGAGTGAGAATGGGCTGCAAAAGCACTGGAAAATGTACAAATGAACAGATACAAGTTATCAATTATCATGGTCGCAAACTGGACATTCTGGCTGTTTACCTTTGCTGATTGAAACTTCTAATGGAGATCCTATATCATCCATGTTGGCGTGTATGACTGCACAGGTGAAGACGGTTCGGAGATCTTCATACTCTTGTTTTGACAAGGTTAGGATGCTGATAACAGACGTGGAGCTCTTCTGATGAATAGGAGCACTGGTTCTGGTGTCTATGGAAGGCTTTTCGCCCACTTTCCACATGATATAGACATCACCCAGTCTATGGCTTGTGACCTCACACACCAGATAGACACTGTCGCTGACATTGATGTTAGTTTCAGGACTGTGAATGGTAACAGTGGGTTTCTGTCCATCTTAATTAAAGGAAGTGATAAAGGTTCATTAAACAAAAAGAAGAATCAAACAACAATGAATAACAATAGTGCATCATGACAGTCTAAGCTTTTTGACAGCAAAACCATTTCAAATGGGCTTACAGTTTTTGCAAGAAAACTTGTTAAATTTAATTTTCACAAAAAAGTATTTAAAAAATGTATAATTGCATCTATAAATGCACATACACCCACAAAGTAAATTATTTGGAAGTAACATTGACTTACCTCCTTTATCAAAATGGATCTCCTGCTTGATGTCTCTGTTATTATTTGTGTCACGGACGGTGCAGGTGACATTTTCTCCATCAAACCATGTCTCGTTATAAATGGTGACATAGTGGGTAAGAATCCACAAGTTTGGAGTGTCGGTTGAGACATTTCCTTTTGTGATGTTCTCACTATTTACAGGTATATTCTTCACTGTGCATGACACTGAAGCTTCTTCCACTGTATTTTGTACATCTCCAGAAACAACAGCTTCCAAGACAACTTTATTATTGACAAATAGTTCTCTCTCAATGGGTGGCTTCAGCATCAGTGTCAATTTAGCTATAAGGGAGAAAGAAAGTATATGACTTCGAAAACTATTGTTTCTGTTCATCTTAATTAAAGGAAGTGATAAAGGTTCATTAAAAAACAGAAGTTTTAAACTATAAATAACAACAGTGCATCAAGACAGACTAAGCTTTTTGACAGCGAAACCATTTCAAATTGGTATTTGTTGTGTTTAATTTTCATAAAAAAGTATTTTTAAAAAGTATAATTGCATCTATAAATGCACATACACCCACAAAGTCAATTATTTGGAAGTAACATTGACTTACCTCCTTTATCAAAATGGATCTCCTGCTTGATGTCTCTGTTATTATTTGTGTCACGGACGGTGCAGGTGACCATTTCTCCATCAAACCATGAATTTTTATCAATGGTGACATTGTGGATTCTTATCCACAAGTTTGAAGTGTCAGTAAAGACATTTCCTTTTGTGATGTTCTCACTGTTTACAGGTATATTCTTCACTGTGCATGACACTGAAGCTTCTTCCACTGTATTTTGTACATCTCCAGAAACAACAGCTTCCAAGACAACTTTATTATTGACAAATAGTTCTCTCTCAATGGGTGGCTTCAGCATCAGTGTGAATTTAGCTACAAGGGAGAAAGGAAGTATATGACTTCTGGTGTAATTTGTATTTAAGTGTATATCTGTGAATTGGAATTATTTCGAAGGAGTGTATCCTTGTGTGAATTTGAAATAGAAGTGAGGGTGTGAACTAGCAAACCAACATTAAATTATTTACCTTTAAAGTTCTTCTCCTCAATAATCCGTTTTCCGCGATGTGTGACCTCACAGGAATATGAAGTGTTTGTATTCCAAGTCTTACTGCTGACTTGATAAAAACTGTATGCTGTGTAACGACCATCTTTATTTTGTTTTCTTTTCAGCTTTAGGATTGTGTTGTCATTATTTACTTTCCATTGTCCAGTGAGCTTCTCGGGGTAGAAATCCTCAATAACACACATGACAGATGTACTTTTTTGAGTGGTAACAGGAACCAAAGTCAGGGTTGGTTCTTGTGGTTTCACTACAAATAAAACAAGGTTTATGCACAATGAAACTGAGGACATCTGACATTTTGCAATCTTATTACCACAACAGTTTAGTTAAATATTCATCCTGTTAATGTCTGTTGTTACCTCTTATGAATGTTTCACTGACAGTTTTCGATGGGTGTACTGCAGTACAGCTAATATCATTTTGATTTTTATTAATAGTTATGTGGCTGACTTTCAACATCTTGCCTCCAGTTGTTACTGTAGGGTACTGGATGAAATCAGTCAAGGCTTTTCTTCCCTCCATCCATTTGAAACTGACAGATTCAGCAGGAGAAAACCCAGAAGCCAGACAGCCAACAATTAGGGACTCAGATGAAGATTCATATTGAGACATCATATAAACTGTTGGTGGTTTGGGAGCTGCACCTAAAAGGGCAAAACCACACAGAACACACATTTGGGTTATACTCTGATGAAGCAGACACACAAAGTGGAACTGTTGGACATTGCTTCAAAGTCTCATAAAAACATTTTAATCTGGAAACAATTTTATATCCACACTGCATTCATTAAAACATTAGTTATCATTGTTAATAAACACATACAATTAAATTATAAACTAAAATTTTGAATCATTACATGAAATGAAAGCTGCTGCATTGTCCTTTTGAAACTTTAAACAGTAATTAGTTAATATATCAAATGCCATGGGTGTGTTTTGATGTCATATTGCCTTAGATCGAGCGAATTTCAAAAATATGTGGGAATATTTAAGTAGCCTAAGCTGTATGTTATTAAGCTTGTTTCATTAGGCAAAAATAAAATAAACATTACAAGCCTATTTATTTCCTCACTGAAATAATTTAATAAAACGATAATTCTAATTCAAACTGTCTAATACTTCAAAAAAAAAAAAAACTGTTTAGCAACAGGACAAACGCGGCAACAATATTACATGTATCATAGCCTGAGTCTGATGTTATTTTCAGTACAACCATATAGGCCACATTTATATGAAACGAGCGACTCCGCGATGTAGCCTGCTTATAAACATGGCAGGCAAAAGAACCAATAGCCTGCTATTCTAGCTACATAAGTTCTGCAAAAATTAAAAACTACATTTTAGGCTAGATAAAGTTTTTCAGTAGCCTAATATGAGTAAATTAGTCATAAAAAGAAAGTTTTTCATTATTATGATCGAGGAAGTTTCTCAAAATATTACGATTAAGTTGTGCATTGTATGAGAGATGCAAGATCATTATTAGAAAGTTTCTTAATATTACCTTATTATGAAAAAGTCCTTATTATAAGAAAGCTATACGACAGATCATTTTTTATAAAAAACTGTTAACGTTTGAACCGTCAACGTTAAAACGAGATACATTTTCTTAATTAGATGTGTTGGATATAGGCTGGAATCTGTTCAGCAAACTAAATAAAGCCAAAATTCCCACGATATTGTCCTCGACAGATTTATAATGCAATATAATTATTTGAACGCTATTCGACTGATAATTATATAAAATATGCAATATAATAATTTATTGTGTCTTTGTTTAGTTTGCTTAACAGATTTCAGCCCATCTATTTTAAACCCAAACAGGCCAATATATTATATTAATACAAAATATCGAGATAAAATCAGTAAATAACTTACTTGTGACGGTCACCTTCGTCCCTTTGCCCCAGTAGTCGAAGTAACTATCACAACGCTACATTATTGATATCAGTTGTACAAAAGCCTATTCCTAGCTCTGTTGAATATAAGGGCCTAGTCTGCATTACCATTTTTAGCCATTATTGTGTTTCGCTTTTACACTATAGCTAAGAATTGAACGTACAGGACAGATATATGTCTAAATGAACACAGTAATTTATATAGCTACACTTTACACTTTATTACATAAAGTGATATCATAATAAAGGCAACAGTAGCAGGCTATTCGCGCATCGATGCAAGCATGTCTCTAAATTTTTAAATATGAAGTCCAGCCATAGTGTTTTTTAAAAACATATATTTAAAACACTTTGCATTAATACAACATCAAAATAATCAGAGTTTATAAAAAAACAAGAGATATGCCGACAATATGGGAATACGGTAAACAATCTTCTAACAGTAATATCAAGCAATTTTGGTTTACAGTTTTTGTTTAATTTTTAATTCCAAGTAGGCTATAGCTAAACTAAAAATTTTCAGATGTGAATGTAGTAAAGAACTTACTTGAGACGGTCACTTTTGTGCCTTTACCCCAGTAGTTAAAAGCATCACAATGAGACATTAGACGTGATCTGATATCCAAAAACCTTGAACGTCAATACCGTTTCCGCTTAGTAGCCTAGGCCTATTATTGAAATCCGTGGATCTGTCGAAGAAAGCAAATCAAATTATCCAAGTGCCACCACAACAAATTCATTGGATAAAAAAATAAATAAATTATATTTCATATATATATATATATATATATATATGAAGAGTTCAGATGCAAAAGCCTCTAAATGCCATTTGAAATGTTCTTCTTTAATGATGATTCATTAAATTCACTTAAATAACAATTAATAGGTAATTATCATTGCCATTTAAGTGAAATCACTGAACCTAAATATACAAGCTTGATAAAAATTATCATTAGAGCACTTAGAGGCTTTTGCATCTGAACTATTCATATATATATATAGCCTATATATATATATATATATATATATATATATATATATATATATATATATATATATATATATATATATTATGGCTTACATCAAGCTTGTATTCAAGTTCAGTAATTATTACTCAACTTGAATACAAGCTTGATAAAAATTATCATTCTAGAAGAAAATTTCAAATTGGAACTCTTCATATAGCCTACTTAATGGCACTGCATAAAAATATATTAATATCTTATGCTTCTCACTGCTTCTTTCTCTCAATGATTTTTTCAATTTATAGATATTTTAACTGCAAAATAAGACAAAAAATATTTTTGTTGCAGTTAAGTTTAGGTGTCATCATTGGTTGCAATGATGAGGAAATGGAACTAAACACCACCAGTTTTGTTTGTCCAGTTGTGAGACAGTTGTGATAGAGAGAGGAATTACATGTTCAGATCCAAAATGAGAATGTTTGGCATTTTTAGAAGTGCATTTTATTATGTAATGTCAGTCTTTTGATTAATTGCTCTTCATAAAATCCATCCAATGAACACTGATGGACTGTTGTTGAGGCTGTTTTTTTATGAGGAGACAAATAGCAACTGGGATATGCTGCACACAAAGTCCAAAGAAAAGAACTTTTGGTTGGTTTTGGGTAGTCATGCTATCATATTTAACAGTGATTAATTAATATGTATGCCTCAGGATCCTTGTTGTTTAAACATATTTCACATTAACAGCAATGTAAAAAAAAAAATCCCGTTAAAAAACGGCTAATCTCTGGCAGCAACGTTTCCAGACGGATTCTATTACAGTAAATTACAGCAAATAGCCAATTCACAAAATTACATGAAAAAAATACAGAATTTACTTTACAGTCAAACTTGATTAAATTACAGCATATTAATGTTGATAATGGCTTATTAAACCGTGGAAAACTGTATAAATGATGTCACATTAAAAAGACATTTAACTTTCAGGTTAAACTGAAGACGTGTGTCATTAAGATAGCAGTGACAGGAAAAGCCATGTTTCTAAATCTAAACGACAGAGCCTATTTACAAAAAAAAAAAATAAAAAAAAATAAAATAAAATAAAAAATAGACGGGTGGGGTGGAATCTAACACAATCATGGTCTTACTGTAGCATTCTTCCTAGCCTACCTTGTTTGCCATGATCATCTGCTTTCCAGAGGACCTGAAATCGGGAAGAACCCGATATATGCTTCACCCCCGTAAAAAGTGAACCTCAGGAACTAAGAAATGTGTTAAATGGATTGAGAAAAATTTTAAGATATCAAATATATTTTTCTCAATGTACCACTTGACGGCGCAATGACCTTTACAACAGGTTTGTGCTCCTCATCCAAATGCATGAAACGTGTGCATCATTTCGAAAATGCTCTTTTAAATATTTTAGTAATATTATGTTTTGAGTTTTTTTTATCTTAAATGTAATTTTTAGCATTGAAAACACATTTCAATAAATCAAGTGCAAAATCATATTTCCCTGATCTCTCCAGTAGCACCTCAATGCAGAACATGAGATCCACGGGGAGGAGTCGGATCACGATCCAAGGGGTGGAGATGGGTAGGATTAGGGTTGGGTTTAGGGATTAGGGGTGGGTTTAGAGATCAGGGGGCGGAGTTGGTTAGGTTTATGTAAGGTGGGAGGAGTTGGATCTGGATCCGACTCCTCCCCGTCGATTTCATGTTCCGCAGATCTCTTTGTTCTTGATCTGGATGTTCTTTTTTAATTTCTCATGTTTTTAGGCTATGTTTTATGTAAGGCTTAAATTGACTTTGGGCCCTAACTGAACTTATCTAGTATTTTTTTTAAGTAGTTTTTATATGTTCACACTGTAGGGAGTTATCGTGTTTCTAAAATGTTTACATTTTCTTCTGAGCTTACCCAATACCAAAATCATGGATCATGGAACACAGCATGCCAGAAAAGAAGACATAATGTTGATAGACAGACATAATGCTGACGAGTTCATTAATAATGCATTGGATTTTGTCAAATTGATTTTATAGCCTGATATTGTTCCAAATAATAAGGTCTAATAGGCCTACTATGGGATTGATCGCTCGGGGCTGGTTAAGTAGCCTATATTATATCGTCAGCATAAAGTGAAATTTTGTTCTGTGTTTCCCCGATACTCTCTTTATTAGCCCTTATGGCTTCTGCGAGTGGTTCTATTGCCAAATTAAATAGAAACGGAGATAGAGGGCATCCCTGCCGGCAGCCTCAAGGTTACCATTTATACATATTTGGGCTTGTGGGTTGCTATACATATAGTTCTGATCCACCCAATGCATTTTTTACCAAGATTACATTTCTCCAGAACGGCAAACAAATGACCACTCGACCCTGTCAAACGCTTTTTCTGCGTCAAGAGAAAGTGTAAGGCTGCTCTGTTAGGGCCGAGTGGTCGATTATATTTAATAGCCTCCGGATATTGCAACACAGTCTCATGAAGATGCATAGCGTGCCTTCACAAAACCGGATTGCAGGATTAATAATCTGGGGCAACAGGTCTTCCAGCCTGGGTGCAATTAATTTAGATAATATCTTTAAGTCAACTGGAAGTAATGAAATTGGGCGAAAAGAAGCGCATTCAGCCGCATCCTTGTCCTTCTTGTGTATTAAAGATATTAATGCGGTCTTCATAGAGTCAGGGAGAACGCCCTTTTCAAAAAAATCAGTAACCATGGGCATGAAAAGTGGCTCGATTTGCACCCAGAAAGCCTTATAATTCTAGAATATCCGTCTAAGCCTAAAGTTAGGGCATTGATTTTTTTTTTGCTTGTAACGCCTCCTTTGGGGTAAATGGAGTGCTCAACTGCTCTTTCTCATCCTCTGAGATAGAGGGTAAGGATATTTTTTCCAAAAAACTGTGGATATCTGTTGCGGAGGGATTTTCTGATGCGCAGAGCTGTGTATAAAAATCGAGAAATGAGGACTTAATTGATTGTATAGTATTTCAACTGACCTGCCGCATTACTTTCTGCACTTTCTTTTTTGAGTTGATGTCTAACGTTACTCGGCTTGTTGCCATATTCATGATATTGCTGTTTGGTAAAGAATAGAAGTTTTTTGATATGTTCTGTTTGAATTTGATTGAGATTAGTTCTGACTGTATTTAGATTTCTTAAGTTTTCCTCTGTAGGAGAGCGTTTATTGCATTGTTCCAAGTTGAATGACTCTTTCTTTTAAGTTGTTCTGTTTGTTTAATAATAGATTTTTTTTTGCAGATGCGTAAAGAGATCAACTGGCCCCTAATGACTGCTTTAGCTGCATCCCACATCACATGCCGGGGTACCAGGGGGGGGGGGGGGGATTGGGGGACTCATTATCCTGTCTGTACTGCTCTAACCATTTTCTAATATTATTACAAGCATCCATATCTGTGAGGAGGGAGGCATTCAATCTCCATTGTTTGATTTGAATTGTCTGCTGGGGGAGGGCTAAACGCAGATGGACTGGTGAGTGTTCTGATATAAGAATGGGCCCTATCGCATGAAACTATGGATGACAAATGATCCTGAGGTAAAAAAAAAAAAAAAAAAAAAAAATCTAGTCGAGAATATGATTTGTGTCTATATAGCCGAATAGAAAGTGTAGTCTTTCCTTATGGGATTAAGTTCTCTCCAAATATCGACCAGGCCAATGTCAGCCGAGGCTCGTCTAAGCGTTGGAGTTAGACAGTGTGGCTGAAGATTTGCCTAAGTTACTATGACAATTAAAATCTCCAGCAAAGCCTGTATTATATTGATTAAATAGGGTAATCATATCCATCATGAATTTAAGGTTATCTTCGTTCGGTGCATATACGTTCAGCAATGTCAATTCTTGACCATATAACATTCCCCTAATATTTGTCTGACATCGTGGTCGCTCTGTTGTTCCTTAAGTATGAAAGGTAATTTTTTATGAATAGGCTACGTATTGCCGTTCCCCTTTTATTGCTTGTGAAGCTATAAACTTGGCCGGCAATCTCTCTTGAGTTTTTTTATGCTCCTCGTTGGACAAATTAGTTTCCTGAAGGAAAGCTATGTCTACTTTATCCTTTTTTAAGAATGTAAGAACTCTCTTCCGTTTAATTGGGTGGCCAAGGCCTCTGACATTGAACGTTATTACATTAAGTGTACTAGACATACAGAGCTTTGCCTGTTATATTGGTTTTGTGTGACCATGATAGAGTAAAAGAAAAAGGAGAAACAATACAAGACTAACATACTAAAAATAAAAAAATAAAAGTATAACATAGCATGGGGGCCCTCCTCTACCTTTTTTTACTATTAAACTACCAAACCAAATAACAATTCCATATCTTAAAATAGATTCTATAGTATAAATTAACATGATATTACTGCTCACTCCAAATAATCGTAATCTCCTTAGAAAATGTAGGCGCTGATGGACCCTTGCACACACCCATGACACATGTTTGTGCCACATAAGCTCACTGTCAATGTGGACCCCCAAGTATTTATAGGATGCAACCTGTTTAATAGCTTCACCATGAACCACAGCAGAGCTCCTATCCCCCACTAATCTCGGGTCTATGAGGACCTCTTCAGTTTTGTTAACATTGATCTGTAAATATTATTAATTATACAGTATGTCCCAGGTGGATAGAAAAATGGTGTTTTCAGAGAATTATTTAGATACTGAATCAGGTTTGCCGTGTTTTGACAGAGTTGGTGTTTAATTACCAAATTGTGGTTCTGGACAGTAAATTAACTATTTGACTATTTGTGTGATGCAGGTCTGTTGCTGTGTTAAAGGGATACTCCACTTTTTTTGGAAATAGGCTCATTTTTCCACTCCCCCAGAGTTAAACAGTTGGGTTTTACCGTTTTCGAATGTATACAGCTGATTTTTTGATATTTAGAAGAATATCAGTAACTAGACAGTTTCTGGTCTCATTGACTTCCATAGTTTTCTTTGCTACACTTTGTTTGCAAGCTTTGGTTTGAAATTTAAGCATTTTAACATTTCCAAGAATTAGTCATAAACATGAACGTTTCACTTCAGCAGGTGTGAGGGAGGAAATAGGAAGAAAGACAGACCCTGACGCTCTCGAATAGATCTAATTCCAACATTCTGAGATTCCTTTGAGAGAACTTAGTCAAAGTAAACACCCAAAGTTTGCATAAAAGCAAAGAAAGATTAATTATTGTAATTTTTTTTTTTTTGCAACATTCCAAATTCTCAACAAATGTTTCAAGCGGCATACTATTGGATAATTGGACAAAATATAATTCAAGTAAATCTTAAGTATTAGTTGTAACGAAGACTACACATAAAGAGGATGTTGTTACAATAAAAACATTTACATTTTACAGTATTGCAAATTGTTTTGAATTGTTTAGCTCATCAAGCTTAATTGTTAGATATTGTGTGTAGAGAAGTTTATTACAGTTTGGCTATTACAAATTAAAACGTTTTCTTGAGCGCTCGTTTGCAGCTGCTATGTCTGCTTCGGTGATTCTCAATCCCCAGAGACACAATATTCAAATACATACAACAACCGAAACTGAGAAAAACATCTCCATTGCAATAGTACCCTAAACTAAAACTTTTCTAGGAATATGTCATTGTGTGCAGTTTGAATCAGTCTTTATTTCAGAACAAATTAAAGAACAGAAATACATTTTTAAAACATCTCTATCTTTTGGATTTTCCAATGATGTTAGAAAGCTTGACTTTAATCAGTTTGGTTTGGTTTCGTTAGATTTGCTCTAATCAGTTCTTCTGAAATGTATGGGTAAATGACATGACGTGCATATTTTTGTGTCCAAGTTTGAAATAATATGATAATTGCATGGCATATATCATTTCATTCTATAAAACCGATTTAGTTTGAATTATTTTTTTAGTACAATTAAATAATACTTATTATTTTGATTTATCTTAAATCTCCAATATGTCAAGTGGTGCAACTGTCTGAACAAATGAACTGTAATAAGGAGTCCACTGAAGGCAAGTTTCAGAAAAGTGCAGTTTTATTAATATCCAAAAACAAGATCAAACAAAGGCAAGGCATGGCATGAAACTCAAAACAAAAACATGAACATAGACATGGCGCTTACTAACAGCAGTTACACGAAACAATACTTTTCAAACACACAAGGCAAACACGAGGGCTTAAATGCACACATGGACAAATGACTGAAAACTAAATGCTATGGAATCATTTCAGGTTTGAAACCTTTAGAAACACATTTTATAAATATCAGTAGATTTATTGTAAAACTGTTGAGATAATTTAAAAACTTTTGTCCAGCATTTAGTTTATTCTAATATGTCAGGGTGACACAACTGCAAACGTGGCTCTTTGATTGTGAATTGATGAGGTAATAACAGTAAACATAATAATGCAGCATCCAGAGAATACTAGTAAAACTGCTGATTTCATGAATGGGTACATGGGTTGGGTTGGTACACTATTAGGTGGTACAACTATATTTGGTTTTACCACCTGACATAAAAATGATTTAGTTTAAACATGTTGCTCATGACTCAAACATATGCATTGCATCAGTTTTTCGAAAAGTTTTTTGAAGCTTTGTCAACAATGACCCATTTGTCCTCTGAAGTCATAATAGTTTTTTGACAAATTAAATAATTTGATTAAATGATTAAATTGATTCATGATTTAAACTTGATTAACTTGATTAAGATTAGTATGGAGTATGATTTTTCAAGAAAACACTATTTCAGTCTTTCTACTTTAAAATTTCATTATAACATAATTAAATGAATTTTGCAATTTCATCATTTTTTTCAGTGAATGGATCTATATAAGTAATACTCACACATTTTATGTTCTGAAGGACCTATCCCTGTAACATCTACTGTAAATGACAAGATAATGTCTCTTGTCTCTTGTATCATAGAAACAATGATACTTAATTGATGAGTTTGAAGACTTACAATATTTGTCAATGTCTTTAAAAATGTGTGAATAGAGGCAAATTATGTAGATTCAACATCAGAATAAGAAACCTTGGAGTCTTAAGGAGTTCTTTATAAAATTCATCAGTGCTTCATCTGGAAAAAAAAGTCAATAAGATCAATAATAAAAACCTATTTTAGTTACATAATCCAAAGTGAAGCCATTGTGTATATATAATACTGTAACAGTATCTACCATCAAAAATGCTCTGCAGTCAGTTTAGTAATGTTTGGGTTACCTTGAAAAGACTAAGTAGAGCGCTGTATGTCAGAGAAAAGAGGAATAGGAAGATGAAGGAAGTGGCAGTGGACCAGAGACTTCTGAACTCATCCTCCTCCAGAACATCTTTATTACAATTCAGAGCAAAGCCCTTCTCCGGCTCTGGTGGCTCCCCTGGAAAAGAAAACACATGTTCATGGGACATATGACCAGGATAAGCATTTAGTCCAGTACATATATGCAAACATAAAATCAAACATCCTGAATTTAAAGTCCAGTGAATCTTACTAGGCTTCTAGTTACTGTATAATCAAGCACATGGCGGCTGCATGTACTCACATACATTCATTTGCACAGACTGCTAAATGTACACAAGAAGTGACAAACATATAACATAGTCCTGTCTCTTACCATACACTATATAAAACAAAACATGCCTTATTGATTATAAATGTCAAAGGTTACTGGTGACTTTGGTGTTGTGCAGAGTCACAAAAATATTCTAATCTCACTAAAATATCAATGAAACGGGGCCAGAATGTAAAGCATACAAGCTGTAATAGCATACAATGTAAAATTTCTGATTATAAGAACCAAATGAGAGCTGGACTAAATCATGCAAAGTTGCAAACACAAAGATTTATTGCTTAAAATTGTAAAAAAGCCAAAACAAACAAACAAACAAAATTGTCAAACCAAAATTAAACAGTTTTGATTTGAAACATAGAACATGACACTGTTATATCAGAGGACATGGAAAGGCTACAGCGGTACAGTAAGCACAAGACAAAACATAAAATTGCAATTTTAACAAAAACATTACACTCATGCAGGTCAGAATACATTTTTGCTCTTGAAAAGTATTGCTTTTTAACACTATGATATTATGATGGCTATAATTCCTGTTTATAATTATTTTCATGCAATAACAAATTAAGCATAGTTTTGAGTGAAATTTCACTCTAAAAAATGCTGGGTTGTTTTAACCCAACTTTGGGTCAAATATGGACTAACCCAGCCGTTGGGTTAAATTTTTACATTACATTTTTAACCCAGCATTTTGGGTTTGTCCATTTTTGACCCAAAATTGGGTTAAAACAACCCAGCATTTTTTAGAGTGTTGGCTTGTAAGTTTGACCCATGCAGTAAAGTGATACAAGCAGAACAATGACCGATGAACAAAAACATCAAAGACAGATTATCTGACAAGTGAGCAACAGGGAGCATAAGCACTGGAAAATGTACAAATGAACAGATACAAGTTATCAATCATAATCATGGACACAAACTGGACATTCTGGCTGTTTACTTTTGCTGGTTGAAACTTGTAATGGAGATCCTATATCGTCCATGTTGGCGTGTTTGACTGCACAGCTGATGGCCTTTTTTTCATACTCTTGTTTTGACAAGGTTAGGATGCTGAGAACAGACGTGGAGTTTTTCTGATGAATAGGAGCACTGGTTTTGGCCTCTATGTAAGGCTCATTGTCCACTTTCCACATGATATAGACATCACCCAGTTTATGGCTTGTGACCTCACACACCAGAGAGACACTGTCGCTGACTTTGATGTTAGTTTCAGGTTTGTAAATGGTAACTTTGGGTTTCTGTCCATCTTAATTAAAGGAGGTGATAAAAGTTCATTAAAAAACAGAAGTTTTAAACTATAATGAATAACAATAGTGCATCAAGACAGTCTAAGCTTTTTGACAGCGAAACCATTTCAAATGGGTATTTGTTGTATTTAATTTTCATAAAAAAGTATTTAAAAAAGTATAATTGCATCTATAAATTCACATACAGCCAAAGTCAATTATTTGGAAGTAACATTGACTTACCTCCTTTATCAAAATGGATCTTCTCCTTGATGTCTCTGTTATTATTTGTGTCACGGACGGTGCAGGTGACCATTTCTCCATTAAACCATGTCTCGTTATAAATGGTGACATAGTGGGTAAGAATCCACAAGTTTGGAGTGTCGGTTGAGACATTTCCTTTTGTGATGTTCTCACTGTTTACAGGTGTATTCTTCACTGTACATGACACTGAAGCTTCTTCCACTGTATTTTGTACATCTCCAGAAACAACAGCTTCCAAGACAACTTTATTATTGACAAATAGTTCTCTCTCAATGGGTGGCTTCAGCATCAGTGTGAATTTAGCTACAAGGGAGAAAGAAAGTATATGACTTCATGTACATTTGTATTTAAGTGTATATCTGTGAATTGGAATTATTTCGAAGGAGTGTATCCTTGTGTGAATTTGAAATAGAAGTGAGGGTGTGAACTAGCAAACCAACATTAAATGATTTACCTTTAAAGTTCTTCTTCTCAATAATCGGTTTTCCCCGATGTGTGACCTCACAGGAATATAAAGTGTTTGCATTCCAAGTCTCACTGCTGACTTGATAAAAACTGTATGCCTTGTAAAGACCTGTTTTTTCATTTAGTTTGCTTTCCAGTTTCAGGTTCGTGCTGTCATTATTTACTTTCCATTGACCAGTGAGCTTCTCGGGGTAGAAATCCTCAATAACACACATGACAGATGTACTTTTTGGAGTTGTAACAGGAACCAAAGTCAGGGTTGGTTTTTGTGGTTTCACTACAAATAAAACAAGGTTTATGCACAATGAAACTGAGGACATCAGACATTTTGCAATCTTATTACCACAACAGTTTAGTTAAATATTCATCCTGTTAATGTCTGTTGTTACCTATTGTGAATGTTTCACTGACAGTTTTCGATGGGTGTACTGCAGTACAGCTAATATTATTTTGATTCCATTTCGTTTCATTGATAGCTATGTGGCTGACTTTCAACATCTTGCCTCCAGTTGTTACTGTAGGGTACTGGATGAAATCAGTCAAGGCATTTCCTCTCTGATCCATCCATTTGAAACTGACAGATTCAGCAGGAGAAAACCCAGAAGCCAGACAGCCAACAATTAGGGAATCAGATGAAGGTTCACATTGAGACATCTTATAAACTGTTGGTGGATTGGGAGCTGCACCTAAAAGGGCGAAACCACACAGAACACACATTTGGGTTATACTCTGATGAAGCAGACACACAAAGTGGAACTGTTGGACATTGCTTCAAAGTCTCATAAAAACATTTTAATCTGGAAACAATTGAAGAGTTCAGATGCAAAAGCCTCTAAGTGCCATTTGAAATTTTCTTCTAGAATGATAATTTTTATTAAGCTTGTATATTTAAGTTATCATTGTTAATAAACACATACAATTAAATTATAAACTAAAATTTTTAATCATTACATGAAATGAAAGCCGCTGCATTGTCCTTTTGAAACTTTAAACAGTAATTAGTTAATATAGAAAATGCCATGGGTGCGTTTTGATGTCATATTGCCCTCGAGGGAATTTCAAAAATATTTGGGAATATTTGCTGTATGTTTGTTTCATTAGGCAAAAAATACAATAAACATTAAATTTAGTATTTATTTACTCAGTGAAATAATTTAATAAAACGATCATTCTAATTTAAACTGTCTAATAGACCTTCAAAATTAAAAAAAAAAAATGTTTAGCAACAGGACAAACGCGGCAACAATATTACATTTATCATAGCCTGAGTCTGATGTTATTTTCAGTACAACCCATTACCGAAACGCAAGATGACCATATACATTTATGTACAAGCGAGTCCGCGATGTAGGCTATGCTTGTAGGTTAAAAACATGGCAGGCAAGAACAAAGTAGCTGCTAGAGAAGTTCTGCAAAAATTAACAACTACATTCCCTTACGACATTCATGATGTAGAGGAAATAACAACACTCATAATTTAGGCTAGATAAAGTTTTTCATTAATATGAGTAAATTAGTCATAACGGAAAAGTTTTTCATTATTATGATCAAGGAGTTTTCTCAAAATATATTGTTGTGCATTGTATCAGAGATACAAGATCATTATTAGCCTACAAGAAAGTTTCTTAATATTATGAGAAAGTACCTAAGTCCTTATGAGAAAGCTACTCATTATAGGCTACGATAGTTGATATCATTTTTATAAAAAAAAAAAAGTTAACGTTTGAACAATCAACGTTAAAAAGAGAGAAATTTGCTAAATTATAGGTAGGCCTAGGTGTTTTGGATATAAGCTGGAATCTGTTCAGCAACTAAACAAAGACTTTAAAAAGCCAAAATTCCCATGATATTGTCCTCGACAGATTTATGATAACATAATTTATTGTGTCTTTGTTTAGTTTGCTTGACAGATTTCAGCCCATCTATATTAAACCCAAACAGTGCAATAGGCTATATTATTATTTGAATACAAAATAGAGAGATAAAATCAGTAAATAACTTACTTGTGACGGTCACCTTCGTCCCTTTGCCCCAGTAGTCGAAGTAACTATCACAACGCTACATTATTGATATCAGTTGTACAAAAGCCTAATTCGCTTTGGATAGGCTAATGTGCTCTGCATTATCAGCCATATTGTGTTTCGCTTTTACACTAGCTAATAAAGAATTGAATGTACAGGACAGATGTGTCTAAATGAATACAGCAATTTATATAGCCTATACACTTTACACTTTATGGCCTATTTATCATAATAAAGGCAACTAGGCTACTTGCGCATCTATGCACGCATGTCTCTAAGTTTTGAAATGAAGTCCAGATAGTGTTTTTTAAAAACATACATTTAAAACAATTTGCATTAATGCAACATCAAAATAATCAGAGTTTATAAAAACAATATGCCTATAGATAGGCTATATGCCGACGATGTGGGAATACGATAGCCTGAACAATCTTCTAACAGTAGGCTAATATCGAGCAATTTTGGTTTACAGTTTTTGTTTAATTTTTTAATTCCAAGTAGGCTATAGCTAAACTAAAAATTTTCAGATGTGAATGTAGTAAAGAACTTACTTGAGACGGTCACTTGTGTGCCTTTACCCCAGTAGTCAAAAGCATCACAATGAGACAGTAGACGTGATCTGATATCCAAAAACCTTGAACTTCAATACCGTTTCCGTTTAGTAGGCTAGGTATTGTTGAGATCCGTGGATTTGTAGAGGAAAGCTATCAAATTATCCAAGTGCCACCACAACAAATTCATTGGATAAAAAAATGTATAAATATATATAAAAAATAAAAAAAATAATAGGCTATTCATTTTAAACGTAGGCTATTTTTAATAAAGCATTACATAGTATATATATATATATATATATATATATATATATATATATATATATGTATATAAATATAAGTATATATATGAAGAGTTCAGATGCAAAAGCCTCTAAGTGCCATTTGAAATTTTCTTCTAAAATGATCATTTTTATCAAGCTTGTATATTTAAGTTCAGTGATTTCACTTAAATGGCAATTAAGATTACCTATTAATTGTCATTTAAGTGAAATTACTGAACTTAAATATACAAGCTTGATAAAAATGGTCATTTTATAAGAAAATTTCAAATGGCATTTAGAGGCTTTTGCATCTGAACTCTTCATATATATATATATATATCTCGAATCGGTTACCTAACGTAACCTCAGTTCTCTCTAGATGAGGCTATGCAGCTCAATGCAGCTCACCAAGAGAGCTGTACCGTACTAGACCGCTAGTAATTTAGCCTGCAAGGCGGGCACTTCCAGATTGTAAAATCTGACAAAGGTGGAGGGGGAAGCCCATCCCACACATATGTCATCAATGGAAATCCTGGATCATGCCCACGACGAGGCCATGCCTCTAGTCGAATGAGCCCTAATGCCCAGGGGTTATGGCAGGTCTTTTGAAGCGTATGTGGCAGCAATAGCATCAACTATCCATCTGGACAGTGTCTGTTTCGAGGCGGCGAGACCTTTAGTGCGCCCTCCAAATGAAACGAAAAGCTGCTCAGAACATCTGAAAGAGGCAGCGCGCATGGTATACAATCTCAGTACTTGAACTGGACAGAGGAGTTTGGCATCTCGTTCGCTATCGGATGCTGGCAGAGCCGATAGGGAAATGACCTGAGCCCTGAACGGGGTACCAATCACTTTGAGGACATAGCCATGTCTAGGCTTTAAAATGACTTTGTTCGGACTCATTAGGTCCGAACTCGAGACACGCAGCGCTAACAGATAGCATGTGAAGGTCTCCCACACATTTAACTGATGACAGTGCAAACGGTTTTAAGTGAAAGGTTTTTCAAGTCCACAGAGTAAAGTGGTTTGAAAGGGGGGGGGGGGGGGGGGCTTTCATAGCTTCGAGAACTATAGAAAGATCCCAGATAGGAACCGACGGGGGGCGCGCGGCGGAGGGTTCATCCTTCTAGCTCCCCTGAGGAAGCGGATGACCAGCTCGTCTTTACCCAGTGGGCAGTGAGCATTCTCTTCTGACGCAAAGAGATCTATCTCCGCTCTGCCAAATATTCGCCATAACATCTTGACTGTTTGAGCATGCAGGGACCATTCTCCTGGGGGAATGTTGTCCCTGGACAGTTTGTCTGGGCCGTCGTTCCAGAGGCCGGGCACATGCGTTGCTCTCAGTGAGCGCAGATGGCACTGGGACCAGCTCAGTATGCGTTCTGTCAGACTGAAGAGGTTCCTGGATCTGACTCGCCCTGACGGTTTAGATAGGATACCACAGACCTGTTGACCAAATACAGGTTGGAGGTTGACCTTCTGACCACATGGTGCAGGGACAACAACCTCCTGCTGAATGTCAGCAAAACTAAGGAGATTATTGTTGACTTCCGGAGAGGCCACACCCAACACCTGCCACTGACCATCAACGGTGCTGTGGTGGAGAGAGTGAGCAGCACCAAATTCCTGGGGGTGCACATCAGTGAAGACCTCTCCTGTACCACCAACACTGCATCACTGGTAAAGAGGGCTCAGCGCCGCCTGTACTTCCTGCGGAAACTCAGGCGGGTAAGTGCTCCACCAGCCATCATGACCACATTCTACCGAGGCACCATTGAGAGCATCCTCTCCAGCTGTATTGCTGTGTGGGGCGGAAGCTGCACTGACTACAACAGAAAAGCCCTGCAGCGCATAGTGAACACAGCTGGAAGGATTATTGGTGCCTCACTCCCCTCCCTGAAGGATATCTACACCTCCCACCTCACTCGCAAGGCCATCACAATCGTAAGTGATGCAAGTCACCCCGCTCACAATTTGTTGCACAAACAACTGCCCTCTGAGAAGAGGTACAGAAGCCTGCACGCCCGCACCACCAGACTCACCAACAGCTTCATACACCAGGCTGTTAGGAGGCTGAACTCTCTCCCCCATTTCCCCCCGGTTACATAACATCCTGGACTTGCACTACTCCACTTGCGCACTTGCGTTGCTGTTGCTGTCTTGTTTGTCTTGAAAACTGACTTTTGCACTATTATTATTATTATTATTATTTATTTATTTATTTTTTAATGTAAATGAATGTTTATTTGAAGTCAAAATTAAGCTATTAGTTCTTAATAAATAAATAAATTAATAATATATATATATATATATATTATATATATATATATATATATATATATATATATATACATATATATTAGGGATGCACGATATATCGGCCAGCATATCGGTATCGGCCGATATATGTTAATTTTTTTTTTTTAATTTTTTAATTTTTTTTTTTTTATTTAACAGTCAGACATACATACAAACAAACCAACATAGTGCAGTAGTGAGCAATCTTGTAAATCCATAATTCCAGCAGTGGCAAGAGTGATTTAAGTGTTTGATCTAAGTGTGTAAGTGAGCGTGTATGAGCGTGGGTATGTGTATGCGTGTGTACACAATGTAACCATTTATTATTTATTACCATTGTCCTTACCATCACTCCCCACTACCACCATACTGCCCATATTGTTTTTGTAGATTTTTATTTCCATCCTTCCTCCTATGTAACAATTGCCATTGTCAATCCTGTACAAAATATGATAATATAATAATATAATATAATAATATAATATAATATAAGACCACCTTCCCCCATATCTCATCAGTCCCTATCTTTTCCTATTTTTCTGTTTTTTTTTTTTTTTGTTTTTTTTTTGTGTTATGTGCAATGTCTAAAGTGCATTAAAAGAGGGAGTACAGTGCGAGAATGTCTCAAATTGGGCCAGAGATGCTGTCCCGTTGAAACTACTTCTCGCCTGTCTTGCCTGCCTTGGTGTTTGCGATGTTTTCCAAATATACTTATTCTTTTTTTTTTTTTTTTCTTTTTTTTTTCCCCTTTTCTATGTTGTGGTGCATTAAAAACCCATGAAAAGATAAGGGGGGAGTTATTTTTGCACTATTATTATATTGACTGTATGCATAATTGAACATAATTGAAAGGACTTTTGCACTATTTGCAGTTTTGCACTATTATATTGACTGTATGCATACAGTATGTATGCACTGAAAAAACAGACTTTTTTGCACTATTATATTGACTGAATGCATAATTGCACTTTCTCAGTTCATATTTGGCTGCTCTATCTGCCTTCATAGTATGTGCCTTCCCATTTTTTAGTTTTACCAATTATTTTTTTGTGTTTTTTTTGTCTGTACACCGTGGGATAGAGGGAAACGTAATTTCAATCTCTTGTATGTCTTGACATGTGAAAAAATTGACAATAAAGCTGACTTTGACTTTGTCCGAGCGGACCAGGATGTGATGACCCTGAATGATCGGGAGGAAGCACGTGAGGGAGTGAAGGAGCTTATCCTGAACTGACCATAGGCCAAAAGCCGGTGAGCCCTTGCAGACCGCATCCCAACCCATGTTGGACGTGTCTGTCGAGGTGCCTTTTCGGCGAGAAACACCTCCCATAGTCACTCCCCGTTGATACCATTCGGCCACTGTCCAGGGCTGCAGAGCTGAAATACAGGTCTGAGTCACTCTGATTGTTTGGCGGCCTGTGGCCCACGCCCGGCGAGTCACATGGGTGTTTAGCCAGAGTTGAAGCTGACGCATGCGCAGTAGCCCAAGCTGGAGAACTGCGGCGGCTGAGGCCATGTAACCCAGCGCTCTCTGAAAGGTTTTCAGAGGCGTGAGGCTGTTCATCTGAAAAGAAGCGGCTAGTCGCTTAACACGGCGTGCGCTGTGTTGATAAGCGAGCCGTCATATCCACAGAGTCTAGCTCTATTCCTAGGAAGGAAATCGCCTTTCTGGGTTGTAGTGAGCTCTTTGTCCAATTGACAGAAAGGCCCAAACTGTTCACATGATTGAGGAGAACTGTCCGATGAGACAGAAGCTCCGTGTGTGATTGAGCCAAAATCAGCCAGTCGTCCAGATAGTTCAAAATTCGCAAACCTGCAGGGGCTCTGCAGGGGTGCAAGTGCACTTCGTGAACGTACAGGGATAAGGATAGGCTAAACGGAAGGACGGTGTATTGATAAACCTGGCCATCGAAGGCGAATTGCAAGAATGGCCTGTGACGGGGAATTATTTGAATCTTAAAGTAGGCATCTTTTAGATTGAGAGTAATAAACCAGTCCCCCTGGCGCACATGCGCAAGGAGTTTCTTGACTGTAAGCATTTTGAACGGTCTTTTCTCAAGCACTTTGTTCAAAAATCTGAGATCTAAATTCGGTCTGAGGCCGCCGTCTTTCTTGGGGACAATACAAATAACGGCTGTAAAACCCTGACTCGCTCAGAGAAGGCGGCACTCTTTCTATGGCCCTTTTTCACAAAAGTTTTGCTATTTCTGAACGGAGCAGACTGGCTGCTTCCGTGTTCACAGTGGTGTTGTGCATGACGGCTCACGAACAGCCAGTGTTGGCTGTTTTGTGAGTGACTTCCCGATTGAAGTAAATGGGGAGAGAGTCACATGTGAGTGATGAGCGAGAGGAGTCACAGGCACGGGACTTACATGCAGAGAGGAGTTTACTGGCCGTGTAACAGAGCGGGCAGAGAGGGGACGCTTGCACTCGAACGGGCTGTGTACACTTCATGGGAGTGGGCTCCGACAGAGACACGGGAAGTGTGATGCTTGTTTGTAGGGTTAAACACTGAATTGTGGGCACATTTTCTACACATAAGGCATGTTTGCTCTTTAAGAGATTTGGCAAGTGGGAAATGTGACCGCCTTGTTGGCTGCTGTATACACTGCTGCAGTAACCTGAAGAGAGGGGAATAACAGAGGACGAAGCTTTGGCGGTGGTCAGGCCACGGCGGGACTTAGCTGTCGTTTTCTCAGCGTGGCCAGGAGGACTTTGGTTGTTCGGGCTTCAGCGCAACTTTAGGCTGAGGCGGTCTGCGGCGGCTGTCTGAGCATGATCTAGGGTGGGCGCCCTGACGACGCTGCGAAGTCTGGCTGTGCTGAGCTGGGCGCTCTGCAGCGGCCTGCAGAGGAGATAGAACGACGAGGCAGGAAGAGGTTCATGGCTTGTGTGGCTTTCTGGACCTCGGAGAAACGGTCAACGATACCACTCACAACGGATCCAAAGAGACCGGACGGAGAGAGCGGTGAGTTGAGAAACGTGGGGCGTTCAGATTCTCCCATGTCGGCTAACATTAGCCACAGATGTCTCTCAGTCGCAATTAAAGCTGCCATGAATCTTCCCAGGGCTTGAGCTGCAGATTTTGTGGTGCGAAGAGAGAGATCTGTTGCGCTCCTTAAATCAGCATCAGGAAGTTACCCTTCTCATGCCATTCGCGAAGGAGATCCGCTTAGAGGATCTGCAGGACGTCCATAGAGTGCAGAGCTGAAGTGTGCAGAGCCTGGCCAGTGGCGGCATAAGCGTGGCCTATACAAGCAGAAGTAGTTCTGCAGGCCTTGGATGGGAGCACAGGCTTAGACCACCATCTCGCGGAGGCTGGGGAAAGGTGTGCTGCGACCAAGTCCTCGACAGGGGGGATGGATGAATTTCTCGGTGGCGCTGTCCACCGAAGACAGAGAGGTGGAAACATGGGACCGGGTCCTGGCTGAGAACGGCGTGTTCCACAATTTCGTGAGCTCTGTGTGGAGTTCCAGCAGGAAGGGTGCGGCCCGGGCAGTGGGCGCTGCGACTGCTCTGTAGAAAACAGCCGTCGAGTCGATTGGGAGCCTGCTCAGGAGGCGGTAACGGCCTGTGAGAGGATGCGCATTAATTCCTCCTCGACTCCGGCACGGGTCCTGCTGGATTCCATAACCGAGGAAGAGGCGTAGGAGCCTGACCACTCCTCGCTGTCTGAAGACATAATAGAACATCTTTCCCTTTCATCCACCTCGTCGTCCGTGTTGGCAGTTGTGCGGACTTTTATACATGCTGGCCATGCCCATTCTGGCGGGCTATGATGCAATGATCGCCTTTCTTTGGTCGCGAGTTCAGGCCAGTTCGGCCATATGCTGCAGCAGTTTGCCGCAGGACAACCAATGAGCTCGCTAGCTAGCTACTCATGGTCTGCAGCTGCAAATAATTTCTTGGCTTCAATCCACAAGTTTCCTACGCCCCATGAGGCCTTGCGTCAAAAGTGGGCGCGACTTCCGGTTGGAAGTAAACAAAGCGCAACTTGACATACTTCACACTCGTTCATTCAACAGTTGACAGTTGTGCAAAAGGATCAAGTGATGTGAACTGGACAGAGCAGTACAGCGAGTGATCGATCAGACCACGCCCCTTTTCTGACATGTTGAGACATGCCCTGGTTTGCAGAGAACAGCATTCAGTTTAGTTTCACTTTGCAAGATAAGCTTCAGGTTGTGTTCGTGTGCGTCAGTGACCACAAGTAAGTTATCATTAGTTATAAAGTATTATAAGTTTATAAGTGACTTTAGCATTTGATGGTTAAATGTCAGTAACAGCCTTTTTCTCTATTATGTGTAGATTGTATGGCTTTCTTATTGAAGTTCACATTTCAGGATATGTTTAGCCCTGTTTATTTAAATGACTAGAGAGAGTATAACCTCAGCCGTGTTATGTTAGTTGACATCAATGTTTATTTCCTTTTCTTTAGAACCACACCTACCACACCTACACAGTAAAGTTTATACATAGAAATAGTGCCTGTGCATCTGTATTAGGAAAGTATACATTAAAGCTTTCAACAAGTATTCCTGCCTTCCGTGTCCTGACTAGACACCCCATGTTGGTGACTAATTTTCGCAACCAGTAGAGCCCCATTACAACAGTCATTCAAGTTATAGCGATCCAAACTAGATAACGATGTGGGAACACAACCTCAACGAAATTCAAAAGGGTGAAATAACAGTACCTTTACCCTCCGCAGTAGTTGATTGGGAGTATTATAATAACATTATTAATAATCAATACTCATCAAGGCATGGTGGCAGACAGTTGTGCGAGCTGACAAACAATTCAAATAAAAAATACACACTTAGTCATTGTGCTTTGGAGTTTATTCAAAATTATAAATGAATGTGCTGCTTGAATACATTAACTGCAGTTGGTATTCTGTCAACACAGGCTTTGATCCTGAGTTTAGGTGTAACATCAGTAGCGAACAGCCAATCACATGCTGATAGAGTTTATAGAATATTAAGAATTTAAACAAATGTACACAGGAAGATTCGTCGTCTTTTGGGAGGTGATGGAAACTACAGTCGTTGGCAGGCCAGAGACTCTGGGAGGATCACTCTGATTTCGTTTTCAGCTTATGTTCAAAACAATCCCGTTAAGCCACTAAATTAGTTTAGTCCGGTTATACATACAACCGCGAACAGCACATGTTGTCCCTGAGCTCCGTAACGACATCTCTCATAAAGATTTGCGTCTTTAAATAGTAAAATAATTCTCCGAAAAACAGCTAGCCTCTTCGCTAACTAACACACAAAATACCATTGGAATGCTACTTCCGCCGCGTCACCGGAAGTTTCACCAACTTTATTTTTTACAGGAGCGCCCCTCGGAAACTTGTGGATATCTCAGAAAAGATTAATCTTTCCCATAGCATCAGCTAGCTTACTCAATACGAGAGAACCTCTCGAAAGAGAAAAAAAAATTAAATAAAATATATATATATATATATATATATATATATATATATATATAATCCTGTAAATAATGCAAATCTCTGGCAGCAAAGTTTCCAGACGTATTCCGTTAAATTACAGCAAATAAACATTCACAAAATTACATGCAAAACTGTAAAAATAAAAATAGAATTTACTTTTTCAGTCAAAATTGATTAAATTACAGTATATTACTGTTGATAATGGCTTATTAAACAGTGGAAAAAATTGCTAAATGATGTAAAATTAAATTACCTAACATACTTACAATAAGTATAAGGGAACAATATTTTAAATTTGGGGAATAAAGGGGTAATAACCAGGAGAATTTTTTAAAAAATTCTGTAAGTATTATAGAACTAAGGGGTACTTATTCGACTATTTATGATGGTACTTATTCTACTTTATGATTATTACAAAAAGGTATGTTTAGCAAGAACATACCTTCTTGAAACAATGGTGAACCAGTACACACTGTATAGGCTTTTCTTTTAAATTACAGGGTACATAAATATGCATTTAGTAGAAAATCTTTAGTAATCTTTTTTTTTTTAGAAAAAAAAGTAATCTTTTTTAACAAAAGTGCACTGAGAACGAAAACTTTTGCTTAAATATTGGGGAAAGATCCTCTTTTCATGTAGTTGTTGTTACCCTCTTGTTTCATGTAGTTACAGGGTAAGTGTGACATTGCGGGCTGTAAATTAAAATGGTGCTTGTACCCTCTTGTTTCATAGTTACTGGGTAAGTACAATAAAAATGCATACACAATCTTATATCACTGACTCGGAAACCTTTATTTTATTATACAAGTACCATATCCTTTAACCACATGTAACCACATTATCCTGTAACCACCAGATGTCTCCCAGTATTTTTAAAAATTAAATGGGAAAAATAAAATTGCCTTAAAACATGTTAGCCCAAACATAAACATCTGCAATTTTGCTATAAAAAATAACATAATAATAATAATAATAATAATAATAAAAATTTGTTATAAATGTATAGATATGTACCCTTTAATTTGTAAAAAGCCTATACAGTATGCACTAGTATTTTTATAAAAAGGTACACAGTTTATGTTATCGCTAAATTCCTCCCAAATGTAAGATTGTTGTATCATAAGTATAGGCTATTAATTAATTGAATAATAGTGTAGAATAATAGTGTAATATAAACATTAGTTCTGTAATTGCTTGGACAATAAATATTTTGTTACCCCTTTATTCCCCAAGCTTTACATATTGTTCCCTTATTAAAAGTACTATATAGGTACACTATAATTACAGAAAGTTACACTGTAAATTCCTCCTAATTACACAGTACTTTCCGGGTTATAATCTAAAGCGCTATATACCAAGTTTTTTGTTTTAAAAAATAATAATCTAAAGTTCCGCCATACAATTCTACACAATGAAAGTTTGTGTGAATTGTTATTGTTTTAGTCGTTGTTAATGGGTTTATGAAATGAAATGTTTCACTGTGGCCACTCCATACACAGTGATGTATTCCACCTCAAATTCTCCTCATGCAACAGACTTTACAACAACCTCTTAATGAATGCATCACAATTTTTCTTTCTGTTTTAGGTTCTATAAAGCATTTAAATTTTAATTATAAATTTACCCATTATTAAGCTGTTGACCATTGCGCTTGAAACCAAGATGGAAACAATCTGAGAGCGAAGAGTGTGTGTAAGAGGTGGAAGACGAGGACGAGGACGTGAAAGAGAGCAAGATGAGGACAGTGTTTTCAAGGCTAAATCCAGCAGGTTTTTCCCTTTGCCTGCCAAGACGAGAAATCATTGCCTGTGAGGAATGATGACATCGTTGCCTGTGAGGAACAGGCAGAATGAATGTTACAGATTCATGAACGATTCTGCAGTTGTAGCCTACTCTTGAGTGTCCTGTAACATGCTTTTCGTTTAGAGCTTTGCAGTTGGACTGTTGCAGCAGTTGGACGTGCTCAAACATTCATTAATACTGTTAAATGTGGGTTTTGTGTCTTGTTATGTTGTTATCAGTTGCTCCCTGTCTGTTAATTATCCCAGGTGTTTATTATTTCTCACGCCCCCCTCGTTATCTGGTTTATAGCTCGTTTGTGTCTTGTTATTTAAGCCCGGTGTTTCTACGCTGTCTTTGTGAGTTCTTGTTTTATGTGAACTGTTAACGCCGGTGTTGGTTGTTCATGCTCCTGAGTCCAGTATGTTGTCTATTTTGTATAATCTGTTAAATAAAGCATGTGCTGCGCATGGATCCACAGCCTTATCTTCCTTCAACCGCACTAGCATCGTAACAAATACAGTATAGCAATATTCAGGATTTGCAGTGCACAGCCTATACAATTTATTCACCTTACAACCTAAGTTATGATCACTATATTTGTATAAATTGCAAGTAATAGTTACAATATATATATATATATATATATATATATGTATAACTTTTTTCTGTAACTGCATGACTTGGATTAATGTATTAATGTAACGTGTTTAATAGTGTCTGAATAATGTATTTTTGTATTTATATTTGACTGGATGTGTTTAAGATCTGAAAGCATTATTTTATTTTGAGCACAGATAAAATGGTCTTGAGTAACAGTAATTCTTTTTTGCTATTTTGAAGAGTCTGATATGTTCTCTAAATGTAGTTTGAAGATTTTTTTTGTGTGTTTAATGTTTTGACATGTGTGATGGTTTCGAGGAATGTGCTTTAGCAATTCAGAAAAACTGCAATATTTCAGCCATGTTTATTTGTGACCGAATTCCGAAAACGAATAATGCTTACCTTAAAACAAAAATTAATAATTAATAGCACTGCATTTCGCGAGCATTTATTTGAATCTCATTGGTTCATCTACTCACACGGTAATTCTGTCTCCAATTTAAAATAAATAAATAAATAAATAAATAAATAAATATATATATGGGTTTTATCAGAAAAGTTTTTGAATGGGGCTTTATCACCGTGCCCCCCAGCCATGTCACATTGAAATAGACAAGTGCAAAAATCATGCGCCAGCATGTCTTGTGTCATTCTTTATTTACAAATTCTCCAACAAATGTAGCATTCGCGTTTATATACATATATATATATATATATATATATATATATATAATCGAAAAAACATTCCATGGCAGTCATTTGATCAAATTCCTACAACAGTAAAACTCTAAGACCACAAACAAGCGGGTAAAACGCACAAATAAACTATATCAAGTCCCCATAAAAACAAACAGACAAAGCGGTCTTTAAAGACCCGACCATATAATTTGTGCCTAAAGCCAGTCTCTTTTCTTCTTTTCTAAATAAACAGTTTGAATCGATGTCTTGAGATGTTGTTTTCTCGCCCTCTGGCGTTAATATGGTTTGTGGGCTCTGCTGTTATCTTTACCATTGTTTTGACTTTTTTTTTTAATAAATAAATAAATAAATAATAATAATAATAATAATAATAATAATAAAATGTAAATAGCCTACAAGAGAAACAAGTTGTTTGATAATCATTTTCATTTTTCATATTTCTAGTAATATTTAATTAGGCTAATAGTAATTTTAATAACATTTCGTACAAATATATAATAGTTTTATATTTATATAATAGCTATACAATCGCTATGACATTTTTTTAATACTTTTAACAAATTCCCTAAATTCTTACAGTAACTCAACAACACACCTACAACACACAATTGGCAAAACGGTTAATTTCATGCTCAAAATCACTGTAAACTAAACTCCAACACTAATTTTCAAAAAACAATAATACACTGACACAATACACTACCAAAACACTAACACTTGTTCTCTTCCAACAGGGACATTTAGTCAATCATTGCACACTAACATGTCATAAAAACACTAACATGAAATGGAATTACAGAAACGGTGAGAGGGTGGGTGAATTGCCCAAATGTGGGACACCTAAGGTTTACTGTTTGTATATATTCAGTACAATACGCTATTGCAGTGCGCAGCCTATACAATTTATTCACCTTTCAACCTAAGTTATGATCACTATATTTGTATAAATTGCAGGTAATAGTTACAAATATATATATATATATATATATATATATATATATATATATATATATATATATATATATATATATATTTTCTGTAACTGCGTGACTTGGATTAATGTATTACAGTAATGTAATGTGTTTAATGTAGTGTCTGAATAATGTATTTTTGTATTTATATTTGACTGGATGTGTTTAAGATCTGAAAGCGTTATTTTATTTTGAGCACAGATAAAATGGTCTTGAGTAACAGTAATTCTTTTTTGCTATTTTGAAGAGTTTGATATGTTCTCTAAATGTAGTTTGAAGATTTTGTTTTGTGTGTGTGTTTAATGTTTTGACATGTGTGATGGTTTCGAGGAATGTGCTTTAGCAATTCATAAAAACTGCAATATTTCAGCCATGTTTATTTGTGACCGAATTCCAAAAACGAATAATGCTTACCTTAAAACAAAAATTAATAATTAATAGCACTGCATTTCGCGAGCATTTATTTGAATCTCATATGTTCATCATGGTAACACGGTAATTCTGTCTCCAATTTTTAAAAAATAAATAAATAAATAAATAAAAAAAAAAACAAAAAAACATATATATATATATATATATATATATATATATATATAGCATGGGTTTTATCCGAAAAGTTTTTGCATGGGGCTTTATCACCGTGCCCCCCAGCCGTAGTCACATTGAAATAGACAAGTGCAAAAATCATGTGCCAGCATGTCTTGTGTCATTCTTTATTTACAAATTCTCCAACAAATGTAGCATTCGCGTTTACATATATAAATGAAGAGTTCAGATGCAAAAGCCTCTAAATGCCATTTGAAATTTTCTTCTTTAATGATGATTTTTATCAAACTTGTATATTTAAGTTCAGTAATTTCTCTTAAATAACAATTAATAGGTAAGTATCATTGCCATTTAAGTGAAATCACTGAACTTAAATATACAAGCTTGATAAAAATGATCATTCTAGAAGAAAATTTCAAATGGCACTTAGAGGCTTTTGCATCTGAACTCTTCATATATAATCGAAAAAACATTCCATGGCAGTCAAATTCCTACAACAGTAAAACTCTAAGACCACAAACAAGCGGGTAAAACGCACAAATAAACTATATCAAGTCCCCATAAAAACAAACAGACAAAGCGGTCTTTAAAGACCCGACCATATAATTTGTGCCTAAAGCCAGTCTCTTTTCTTCTTTTCTTAATAAACAGTTTGAATCGATGTCTTGAGATGTTGTTTTCTCGCCCTCTGGCGTTAATATACGGGTTTGTGTGCTCTGCTGTTATCTTTACCATTGTTTTGACTTTTTTTTGAAAAATAAATAAATAAATAAATAAATAAATAATAATAATAATAATAATAAAATGTAAATATGTAGCCTACCATAAGAGAAACAAGTTGTTTGATAATCATTTTCATTTTTCATATTTCTAGTAATATTTAATTAATTGTAATTTTAATAACATTTCGTACAAATATATAATAGTTTTATATTTATATAATAGCTATACAATCGCTATGACATTTTTTTAATACTTTTAACAAATTCCTTAAATTCTTACAGTAACTCAACAACACACCTACAACACACATTGGCAAAACGGTTAATTTCATGCTCAAAATCACTGTAAACTAAACTCCAACACTAATTTTCAAAAAACAATAATACACTGACACAATACACTACCAAAACACTAACACTTGTTCTCTTCCAACAGGGACATTTAGTCAATCATTGCACACTAACATGTCATAAAAACACTAACATGAAATGGAATTACAGAAACGGTGAGAGGGTGGGTGAATTGCCCAAATGTGGGACACATAAGGTTTACTGTTTGTCCCCCATAAATACAGGTTTAAAAACCTGTATTTTTTTTTTGACAAGAAAGCGTCAGTTAGAGGACGCGGTTAGGTTTAGGTGTGGGGTGGGGGTAGGGTACACGCGATCCTAGGGCGTCATCTAACTGACGCTAAAGGGCGCCTAACGCGTCAGATATTGAAGCATGTCCAAATGCTTCCCAAGGCGCCTTGGGAGTGAGAATGGCCTGTGTAATCATATGTGAGGGTGGAGCAGTCATCAAAAGCACCGTCTACCAGACGTCTCTATGATTCTAAGTGGTCAGTGTTTGTTATCTGGTGCAAAACCCGAGGTTTTCCACCCACAAGCAGCGGCCATAGCAGTGTTTATAAAACCTGCGTCTAGGCCGTCACTGTGGAAAAATGATCTGATCATTCGTTTCCTAAAGGAGCTGAGAGGATGAATCCTCCCAGACCCCCATCTATCCCCATATGGAACCTTTCCATGGTGCTAGAAGCCCTGAAAGATCTCTTTACAAGACATCTCAGCCCATTCTCACCCCCAAGGCGTCACTTAACTGACGCCTTGGGAAGCATTTGGACATGCTTCAATATCTGACGCTTTAGGCGCCCTTTAGCGTCAGTTAGATGACGCCC